CGCTTCTATGTTTACTCGTATTTAGACAAAGAATTTGATTTGTAGAATTAAGAAAGAGAATCGGTTAACGATATCTCATCAATAATCGGATACACTGTTTCCTTGATTTAATTCTAAACATATTTATTTGTTAGAAGAAAACAGACATTTTTTTACTGTTCTGGGAAAAACTGGCAATTACTTAATGTTTTTATGACTAGATCCTGTTAATCTGTTGACTAAGATCTTGATATTAATGTGATTTTATAGATTTTGTGACTGTATTTCGAATTTTGACAATATTACTATAATAGATTCTGGAAATCAAAATAATATTTCTGATTGATTTAATGAATCCATTAGAAAGTTGATTCCAAGGTTGAAGTTGTATCATTAAGTCTGGGTCTAATTAATCCATTAGAAAGTTGATTCCAAGGTTGAAGTTGTATCATTAAGTCTGGGTCTAATGCTGCAAACGGGAATACACCTGTCTCAGTAGATCATTGGTGCCTTTTACTTCTGAAAACTCTTGATAAATTGGAGTTTAACATTGTTTTAGAGCAAGAGAAGCAATGCCTTTTAATTTCAGCTTGTGACAATTTTATGAAGTTGAAATGTGTATTCCATATACCATAAACTGTCTGTTTTGAAAAGGGGTAAGGGAAATTATTTAAGTAAACAGGCTCATAGATTCAATAGGTTATAAATTCATGCGTGCATGTCACAATAATTTATGATGAATTATTTGACAAAAAATATTGCCATCATAACAATGCCAGGGTATTTGAAGATAATGGCAGTGATGACAATTGTGACAATAACACGTACCTTTGTATTATAATTCATTTAAATAGAAGCACGTATTCGTTCACACGTGGAAATTATGTCATGTAAAGATGAAAAGATTTCTCCTAAAATTTGTTGACATGATTGGTAAATTGTTTTGGATGTTGATAGATTGTGTATGATGTAGGGAGAGTTTTTTGCTATGTTGGGATATAATTTAATAGATTTTACCCTGAGGCTGTGAAGCGAGTTTTCCCTATTTCATTTTCCCTGACTTTATTTGTATTGACTTTCTTTCATTCTAAGACTAACAGAAATATGCTGTGGATGGTTTTGTGTAGGTTATAGTAATTATCTTTGTCAAACCCTATGAAATTTTTAATGGTAGGAAATCAGAAGTTGATGAATCTTGAACAAATCCTCTATAGGCTTTTTCATTGTTTTGAATGTAGACTAGGACAGATATACTTTGGCTGATATTTCATGGTATATAGGAAATACCCGTGCCTAACTCAATGACATCTTTGATGGTAGGAAATCAGAAGTTGTTGAAATCAGAACAAATCTTGAAATACACATGCTTGTTTAACACAGACTATAGCATTGTTTTAAATTAATTCATCAAAGAAATAATTAAACACCAGTTTGACAAGATGACTTAATTGTAGCCAGCCCGTGGGCAAGGATTACTTGGGTAAGGAGTGAAGATTGTAATATACTAGGCAATAAGAAGTAAAATAAGTCACCTTCCAATTTGACATATGTCAGTGACGGTCAGCTGTCGACAGTGAGTAATGATTTAGAATGGATATAAAGATGTTGTAATGACACTTGATGTGAATTAATAGATTTCTTTACTGACAATTAGCCCAGTAATCTGTTGTAACATTGTTACTCTTAATCTTCTTATGTCTTTATATCTTTAATTGAATTTCACTTTAGATCTTTGCAAGCATATGTTGAAGGCATAGTCTTTATCCCAGCAATTTGGTTTCAAGAGATCTATATTGATGAAAAATTCTGCAATATGTGGGTGATTAAAATAGATTCCTTAATATCAGGCAGTCATTAATATGATAAACTAATTAAAGTCTCTGTAACTTTCTTGGAATCATGTTACTTCATAAACTAATTTTAATTCTGTTACATATCTTTAGTCAAAAAACAGTTTGTAAAAGATTAATATGATTTATTTTGGTACGTGGCAAAATATTGGTTCATCTAATATGGAAGTTCATATTTCTAAATTCTTCAGACATTGACATTTTTTACGTACTTATTAAAATTCCAAATGCAATCATCTCGACTTAAAATTTGTGTTATTTTTAAAAGAATATAAATCTTCGGCCATTAAATGTCTAAGTTTATATCTATACTTGTATTTAAATTAATTACTTTAATGTCAGTTGAAGACATTTAGAATCATGTTACATTCAAAACATCATTTACATCGAGGTTAGTAAAATCCAAGATGGCTGCTTTGATACAATTTAAAATGTTTTAGTGGTTCAAACATAAAGACAGTTTTATCATAAGGACTTGGAAAGTATTATGCAATATGATATGATGGGTCACAAAAGCACTGACTGAGGAATAGGAAGTCCCATTGCTGGTCAATCAGACTCAATGTCCAGACATACACCTTGACCATTAATTCACAAGCCATAAATATAAATGTCTATGTGCAACAAAGCAAGATGATATGTGGTTCAAAGTTACAGAGAATATTTAAAGATTCACAAATATGTCAATTTAATTTTAAAGCCTTCTCTGGGTCAGTGAGTTTTTCTGCTCCATGGTGCCAACAACATATAGTACATTGTGACATAACATCCTAAGAGACAGAAATTTTTTACAAATATAAATTTAATGTCTGCTGTTCATATCACTTTAAAAAAAATACAAGTGATGATATCTGCTATTGGATTTATTGAGTTCATGTAGACTCAAAGTAATAAGGTAATATTCATAGGTAAGGTCATCAATTTTACGGGATATGCAGTGCATTTATTTCACATCTTGAATGATGGGGAGTGGAAAGTCGTGTTTTATTTGGACTGATATCACTGAACCTATAATCCATCATAGATAATAGAAAAGTTTATCAGTTCCTTTGACAATTAGACAAGGACTCATATTAATTATAAAATCTGTATTTTACAGGGGATTGGAAACGTATTATCATATTACATGTTTTATCCATCCCAAGTTTTGGTGGTTGATTTTTTCAGTATGATTTATTAGGAGTTAAATTTCCTCTAAATTGGCATAAAAATTTGGGATGCCTGTGTTGTTTGAGTTCTTTTATAATTTGATACATCTTATGTTAATAGATATGTACTGTTAATTGCGGCAAGTCTATGTTCTTGACACCTTTAAATAGGCAATTATCATGTACATAGATCGATATAGATTTGGAAATAAAATATTTGGTAAAATCTGTTAATGTTTTGTTTTAGAGATTTAAGATTTGAAAAGACACTCTTGAGTTGATTTTTCTCTTCTGAATTGTCCAAAGATAATGGTTTACTGGAAATATTTCTTCCACACATCAAGGGTTTCTTGTTCAAAAAACCAAAATTAGAAACATTTTAACCTTGTGTTTGGATTGATTGAAAATTAATTGTGTTGAACGAAAGTTTAATGTTGTTTTGATGAGATCACTAATTGTTATAAAGAACTAGAAGTTGACTCGGTACTATGTTGAAGGGGTTGAAATGAATTTAGAACTAACTAATGATCTGTTTAAAAGAAATATGGTAATTAGAACCTGATAGTCTTTAAGATAGAGTTCATCTTTATAAAATTATAACCTATTAACATGATTATATCTTTTGATTAATCACCTAATTAATATAACATCAACATAATCTAGTATAGATAATTGGAAATATTGTCTTACATTTTTGAAAACATGACTTTTTAAATGCCCACTTTTGGAATGCTATTGTGAAGAGTAGATGTGGTCTTTAGTACAGTTGGTTAAAGTGGTGGTTTTTACATGATGTCATTTGCATGGTTCATTGAACAAATAGTGGCTCTAATTGTGAAAGATCAATGCCAAGAGGTTTTGGCCCATCACCAGCTGGACGATAGAATCCCTAGGTATGAACCTTAGTTGTTATCCTTAAAATATAGTTGTTTCATTCTTTCTCTAAGAATTCCATGGATTTTGGAATGGTCAACAAATGTATCATTGAAATAAAATATTTTGAAGGGAAGAACAATGCATGATTCCAGGATTAGATCTGGGATCAGCAATGATCTGAAGACAACCAGTCAAATATTTTCTAATGTATCCTATTATCTCTTTACAATACCAGTATATTAGATTGAACAATCAATTCCTATACAATAAAGCTAAACCAGAAACCAATTTTCAAGCTGTTTTGTGTCACAACGAAGAATGACCTGCCTGTATTATTATCTGGAATTTAAAGGTCAACAAATCAGACAACAAATGAAATAAAGTATTTTACGACAGACCTGGCTAATGTCGAACTGATTTTATGACCAGTACATGTGCCTCATTAGACAAATAAAAGTTCATGGCAGTCATTAGGAATTGTTTCATTGATTACACCTACTTCCAGCTATTATCTCAATATTTAGTTTACATGTGGTGAAATAAATTTATTCACATCTCTTTGCCATTAATTTCTGCATTTAATTAGCATTTTTTAAACTAAGAATCATTTATTAATTCAATCCTATCTGAGAATTTACTGAAACATATTTCTATAATAACAAAAAATTCTCACTATTAACAAGGCATAGCGTGAAACATGTTTTATTTTTAATATTTCTGAAAAATATTCTATAGTAAACAATCAGTTTTTTTTATTTAATTCTCCTTCATTCATTTGTTAATTCTTCCGTATTGTTCGATTTTTCTCTCATTCTGCATTAAATTCTTCATGATTCCATTCATGCTTCATCCAATTTTCCAGTTGTTTTTAATTCAATTCGTCAGTCATTTTTCATTCCATATTTGTTCCTTTATTCAATCTGTTTTATGTTTATTTTCATTAAATTTCTAGCCACCTATTCATTTTTGTCATTCTTATTTCTCAGTTTTACCCATTTCTTGTAATTTTTAAGTACATTTTTTATTTATTTCACTAAAATCTTGTACTGATCTATTGTTTAAGTACAAAGCATGTTTCTCTAAGTTATTGATTGAAAGAATGAAATTTTGATTGATTTTTCTTAATGTAGGTTTTGCTTCTTTTCAGATCTGATGAAATGGAAATGGTTATGGCCGATCTAGAACGAGCCAATGAGGTAAATATATTTTTAGCTAATTTGCCCAGCCTGAAATGGAATTGTCCTATTCATAATCAATTTACCAATGATATGCTAAAATAAGCATCTTAACAATGAAGTTGAAGTTAAATGGAGGATTGAATGTAATCCTTTAATATTTCCAGAGGGCTGCTGCAGCTGAACGTGAAGTAGAACAGCTTCGAATTCAATTTACTTCTGCTACAACTAATCAGAGAGAAGAAGATCAGATGCAGAAATCATCAGACATGGAGCAGGCTATTGATATTTTGAAACGTTCTAATCTGGAAGTAGAACTAGCAGCTAAAGAGAAGGAGGTAGGCCATTAGAATCAACTTGAAGATTTTTTCTTTAAAGTTCTTTTTTACTTGAAAGTAGATGCATACCTTTCCTTATGCAACAGTGTACAAGTATGGTGCAACGAGATATTGTCCAATGTCTTTTAAGAAGATCAGATGGATATTTCTCTTCAAATTCGATGCCAATGAAACTTTCATAACAAGTTGATTCAATTCTTGTATTCTTTATTGAACAATTCATTTTTGTAATCCATCCACCTACATCATATCAATTATCAATTACTTTTGTTTGGTGAAAAACACCTAAAAATCTATATAGTAATATGCCTTGTAGTGCTGGGTTCTATGACTTTGTAAGATGGTCGGTAGAGTCCACATATTGATTTTGAAATCTATCAATTATAGATTCATAGTTATTAAGCATTTATTGAAGATGGACCATAAATTTTGGCATTTATAGCTATAAAATGTTTTAGTAAGGAATGATATTAATCATATTAAAATTGTTGATTATTAAGTTAAATTACTAACATAAAATATGATGATAGTGTACAGTAAAGGATAAGATAAAGGATAACAGAGTTAAGAGATCAAGATGATAGCTGAGCTAGGATGATATTAATAGTGTCAACAATTAAGGATGGTAACAGAGTAATAGGATTAGAACTTCGTTTAAAACAGCCCAATTTTCCAAAAACACTCTCCTTAAAGATAAAATGATAACAGAGATAACTCAGAAATGTAGTAGTAGAAAAACATGTCAACCTGTCTTGATAAACCTGTCAAATGCTATATTTTTATTAATATATTACAGGAGTGTACCTCTTTAATTAGCCTCAGAGTAATAATCAATTTCCAGGGTTTTTTCAAATTATTCAATTTATTCAATTAACAATAGAAAAACTTAAATAAACAGATGATAGAAAACTTTAATTATGTAAACATATTACACTTTTTTCTTTGACAGAAAACGTTCTGAGATATTGATCAAGATTTTAATGATTAATTATTGAAGAATATAAATATAACAAGGGGACATTACCCTGTCTTGATAATAGATTTTTCACGTATCGATTTCCATCAATTGAAAATAATTGACGAAAAATGATAACAGTTGGAATTTGAAAAAAAATATTGTAATATCTTTTTCAAATGTCAATTCGACATCATTAATTTCTAAGAGATACTTTTAGATGAATTATTGATGGAAATATTGAAAATCGTTATCCCTGGACAAGGATAGGTTAATTGCATGATGGTATAGATTTTCAGTTCCATTTTGAAGTAGAATTTCTAAAAGAATACGAATATCAATTTTCACAGGCTTCTTTGTTACAGTATGCTACAATTTCTTGTTCTTATTTATCCTTCAAAATAAACTATATACAAATAAGATTGATTTGACATTATGGAATAAAAAGCTTGTTTTATAAGAATTAGCTGTAGAATTTCTATTCTTTAACATCAAGAGCCGTAACTCTTTAAATATCATAACATTTCAATGAAATTTGAACATATTCAATCCATCTGAATCTATTGAGACCTGATTGCTATGATAAGGAAACTTTCATAAAACTGTCAGAAGTCAACGGGTATGATCCCAAGATTTCTAGATATTCATGAAAAACCCATGTAAATTTTTCCCCAAAAATTAAAAAATCTTACAACAATGTTATGAAAGAAGTGACAAGTGCAGCTGTAATTGATTATATTTTAGATACAGTTCAAATTCAAAGTGCGTAACAGTTCATCATAATTTGTATATATATATATTGACAGTAAAAGATATATTTTGTACTATGATACATTGTCAATTGATTATTTATTTGATCATCAAGATAGATAACTCTCAACCTTATTGTTGTACACCATTTCCAAAATAACTTTTGGTAAACAAATCACTATTGTTTAGTGACTAATTCATTTCTTTTTCAACCCTGGTCCCTAAACAATCGCCTGCCATCTTCATTTATTGATCTGTGATTGATTGGCTACTTATTACTATAATTTCACTGTTGCCATGGAAACTAATGTCTGACACACCTAGAGTCAGTATCAATTCTAGTCATTAGAGGCGAGTTGATTTTTGATTGATTGAAATATCGAGTGATTGATCTGCATGGAATTGATCGAGCTCATAGATCTTCCTGCGACAATACTTGTAATAAATTCTGTCATTGTACATTAGTTCCTCAAAGTTATGATCTTGTAGCACGCTACAGAAAGAAGGTATTGTGAATGGAATTAAGCTTTTAATGGCAAACACAATCATTTTGTAGGATTAAAGAGAATGGTTGGAATATATTGATCAGGAAATCGGTGTTTGCTCGTGTAATTATTTTCATCAAATCATGTAGTTATTGATAATTACAGTTTAACATTTACAATGAACTTCCGAAACACGATAATTCATCATGTTCTCAAGTGATTTACATGATATTAGTTGTGGATATTAATTTAAACAGTAATTTCACATATTTACATTCAGTAGCAATAGTCAATTTGGCTAGCCATTTTCGATGACTGAGATTTCCTTTGTCTCTTTGATCTGGGTTTAACATTCAGAGCTAGCCATTTTTGGTTTTGCCAATCAAGCTGAACAAAGCTTAAAAATATTGCACTGCAGTTGTTTTTTTTTGGTTCAGATTACGCCTATTGGCTAGAGAATAATTAAATATTTGAATGTATAATTTCTAAATGATATGTGTGTATATTTTAGATTGCTCAGCTTGTTGAAGATGTACAGAGATTACAAGCATCTTTAACTAAATTGAGAGAGTCTACAGCTTCTCAGGTATGTATTATAAAACTAGTCCATTATTTATCAGTGATATTAACCAGGAGTTACACTTGTCTTATAGATATACCAAAAGGGGTGCTGAGTCGTATAAGGTGTTAGTATAATTTTTGCCTTGGTGGAGGAAGTGTTATTGCAAAGACTATAGAATTTGTTCATCAAAAGGATAAAAAAAAAGGTCCAAATTTACACAAGTTTACTTTAGTTGACAAATATTATTACATATTGCTGAATGGCATGCTTTATGATAACGTTAATTGGTCAGTTTCAAATGTTGCATAATACCATATGCCTTGAATAACAAGCCAAACATGCATTACTATCCGAGTTATGCATTTGAACACCATATTTGGCTTGGAGATGAACTAGAAAATCTTGATATAAACAAAAATTGAAAGTTTTGTAGCTTTATATGGCAGACTTCTCACTAGACAAGGAAAAATACAGTTAATTATTCTGATGTAATTTATGAATTTTTAAATAAAAACTAGTCATCTTATCTTCAAAATGAAGAAATTATGAATCAAGTCAAATATTTATCAAAAGACAAAAGAAAGACTTGAAAATAATGTCAAGAGTTGAATACAAACCACAAATAGACAATAGGTAATAGTTACATAGATAATATATAACAGATCTCTCTCATATTATTAGAAAAGTCGAAGAAAAGATTTGAATTCTTTACACCAAACAATAGACAGTCTTCAGTATAAACAAATACTTTCCTTTGAACTAGCATTTTTATTTTCTATTATTATTACATGTTTAGATTTGAAACGCGAGCATGTATATCATAATAGAAAAAGTTTATGACTAATTTTATAGATAGCAATGAATGAAATTCGCTTAGAATACGATTGTATATCGGGTTAAACGAACATAAAAAATAAACACACACCTGCCAAGAAATTGGTGAAAAATACCCAAAATAGACTTTATAATTTCAAACAAAAAATTGAAAAGTTCATTATTATGGTTTATCCAATACGAATTCTAGAAATTTTCTTATGACGTAAAGACAGAAAAAAAAACAGGTAAAATATGAAATATTTCCTACTGTCATTTTGGGTCTTAAAGATAGCGATGTTTTTTTATATTTCATACAATTTTCACCAATATTTTTAGCTTATATGACAATTTGCACATTGGATTTATTGCAATTAGATGTGTTAAAGGTACATTTGTGCCATTTTTCGGGGGTGATTTGAGTCTTAAATACATGTAAATAGTCTTCAGAAGAAATGTATGAAAATCACATAATTCCTTCAAAAATATCTCAAACTAGGAGTTTCTTTTCTTATTTCTATAGATGTCTTTTCTCTATATTATGGCATTGTCTTAAGAAAAGACGGCTCAAATTTCGATGGCAGGCTGTGAACACTGTTACTCATTGGCTTATCTAAAAAAAAATTCTGTTTCTGAGAATAAGGTGTGTTTGGTAAAAAGTAAAAGGCACATCTGTCTTAAGTGTATTTCAATAGTTTTCTTGGTAATTACTTTAAATGATTCAGAAATTTGCAGGACTTAAACTTTACATCAAATCAATCATAAATGCCATAGGGTTTGATGCTAATTTAAAAAAAAGGACAAAAATGGAAATAGAAATAAAAAGGTGAATAATCCTTCATTTGAAAATCAATTTAAAAGAGGTTGAAAAATTTCATGTGATATGAAAAAAGAAGAGATGTGTAGGCTCATATTAATTGACTGTTTACATTAGAGAAAATAGTCAATGAAATCTATAGTATTACTGTACAGCTTATTAACAATTAGCCATAACTTATAATTAACGTACATCGGAAATATTCCCTGATTCTAAAACAAACATAAAACCTTTCATATTATTATAAAGGCATGTATAGATTTTCATTAATTATACTTTTTACACAAAATAAATAGCAATTGATTTTCTTTGGAATCGATTTTCGTCTGAAAAAAAATCCAAACCTTGAAGATGTTTTTCAAACATTAAGTAAGAGATAAATGCTACAATAATTAACGCGAGTAATTACATATTAGTAATTCAGCTTTGTTATGGTAACAGTGAAGGTATGCATCAGCATTTCAAACATTTTTTACAAATTTACATTAAGTATTTATCAGGAAAATTTAAAACAAACAGACAAGTTCCCTGGAAATTGACTAACTTACACAGCAACCCAACAATGAGAATTTTTAAAATTTAGAAACAAGAGTTCATGTTTAAGTGCAACATGTTTTAGTGCTGTATTACATAAAACATACAGTTTATTGAGATTTTGACATATTGAAACAGAAGGTGCTGTTGTCATAGATTATGCCATGAAAAATATGATAAGCTGTCATTATGTGAATATTAAGACTACGGCTGCAACCAATACCACGCAATAAATCAGCCTAAATAACTCTGACATAATTTTACGGGCAAGATTTAGGATGGTTAGGGCAAAATGCCATAGCTACTTCAGAATGGTACAAGAGAGCTCATAATTACAAGTTAGATGGTTTTTTTGCTATGCAATTCAGTGCCATAAGTTGGAATCCACCAAGAGTCAAATTTCTATCAATAAATTTTTTTTTTGGTTTCTTTACTTTTGTGATCTATAGTTAAAACTAATAAAGTAAAGAGAAGTTCATTGTTTGTTCTCTTTTTGTGTAGTGAGTTCAGTTATGACTTGACAATTGCCTAAATGACAATCCCAGGTCTTAACTGGTACACAACCAAAATTCTACAATAAAAGTTGCTTGGAGAAATGTTGGCATTTCACACCAACCTTTTTAAGAGGGTAGATAGGTGCAGTCTAGATATTGATAGGCATCACTTCAACTTTCAACATCAGATGGCAAACATTTAGAAGAAATTAAGTTCATCTGTCAAATTGATAGGTTTTATTCTGGTCTTATCAGTTAAATTTATTCTTACTCTCTTTTACCCCATCTTCATATTAGATAAGTTCAACAATAATTAGAGATATAGAAATAGACTGTTTCTATGATACTTTGTTCTGAATCTTTTATATTCTACAAATATAGTTAGTTTTACTAAAGCTTCAATAGTACATATTTCCTTGTTAATTTGATCTAGATAGCATGATAGGGTAGGATAATGTTATCTTCCCAAGTTAAAGGACAGGTTATAGTTTTATTAATAGTGCAAGATATTTGTTAATATCATAAAGTATGCTGTTCTAGGTTTATTTTGCCCAGTTACATTACAGGATGTAAGTTTATATCACCAAGTTATAAAGTACATAATATAAGTTTATATAACCAGGGCAGAATATAAGTTTATATCACCAATTTTGAGTACATGATATAGGTTTATATCCCTAATTTATAGTACAAGATGTAGGTATATATCACGAAGTTACATACAGGATATATGTTTATATCACCAAGTTATAGCATAGGTTTATATCAACAAGCTATAGTATATAGGTTTATGTCAACAAGCTATAGTATATAGGTTTATGTCACCAATTTTTAGTACAAGATATTGGTTTATGTCACCAAGTTATAGCATGGGTTTATATAAACAAGTTATAGTACAGGATATAGATTTATTTAAACAAGTTATAGTACAAGATATAAGTTTATAACAACAAGTTATAGAACAGGCTAAAAGTTTATAACAACAAGTTATACTTCAGGATATAAGTTTATATCAACAAGTTATAGTACAGGATATAAGTTTATAACAACAAGTTATAGTACAGGATATAAGTTTATATCAACAAGTTATAGTACAGGATATAAGTTTATATCAAGAAGTTATAGTACAGGATATAAGTTTATATCAACTAGTTATGGTACAGGATATAAGTTTATAACAACAAGTTATAGTACAGGATATAAGTTTATATCAACAAGTTATAGTACAGGATATAAGTTTATATCAACTAGTTATGGTACAGGATATAAATTTATAACAACAAGTTATTCTACTGGATACAAGTTATAGTACAGGATATAAGTTTATAACAAGTTATAGTACAGGATATAAATTTATAGCAACAAGTTATAGTACAGGATATAAGTTTATATCAACAAGTTATGCTACAGGATATAGGTTTATGTCAACCAGTTAGAGGACACATGTAGATAGGTTAATATCACCCATATAGGGGACAGGACATAGGTTTATATCACCGAGTTATATAGCACAGGATATAGGTTTATATACAGCAGATTGGGCTAATAGAAACATTTATTATTCTATAAGATCAATAAAGGCGTTAATTATTGGAAATATTGCTGGAAGTTGTGGTAATAATTGAATTTTCTATTGATTTTTACCATCTCGTCATTGAATTATTGAATAATGAAAGATCTGCTATTGTTTTAAATTGATTATTTGGTATCCAAAGCCACCTAAAATGGATTGATTTTGCTCAAATTTATTGATATTTGTTCAATAATTGATAAATTTTTGCTTCACTTTACTGATTATGTAAAACACCTTTTTTATGAAGAAGTATATAGAGGCATGAAGTACATTTTTTTCTAAATGTGTATAATACTACTTGGTTAATTCTGTTTCAAAATATTAGATATAGATATTTAAGAATATAGCTTCTTTTAAAAGTTTGAAATTGTATTTTCAGATTGCTGCTCTGGAAGAAGAGTTGTCTTTAAAGAGTAAGGCTGTTCATGTTTTGGAAGAAAAACTGAAATCTCAGGAAGATTATGAAGAGGTCAAACGAGAACTCAAGTAAGTAATATCTCATTACTTTATTTGTGAGTTGAAAAATCCAGTTACATAGTGACATCAGGTCTTATGATACCCAAAGCCAGATTTGAAGGAAATAAAGATATTAAAACAGCTGTTCAACTAATTTAGGCTTTTTCTATTGCCTGTACCATTGACACAATTTAATTTTAAATACTGTTACAGTTAAAATTTCTAGCCAGCTGTGTTACACATAATAAGGGTGGGTAATATATTTGGACATTGTTTAATTCAGTATAAACTTTTCCATAAAAGGAAAAGCATCCTTCTTTGTCTTCTGCATGTGCGAAAAAATATGACTATTTTTGTATCTTTCAGGGTTTTGAAATCTCTTGAGTTTAACAATGAAGTTAAAGAAGAAGGAAGGGGCAAGTCTCTAGAAATTCTTCTTCTTGAGAAAAACAAAGCTCTACAATCTGAGAATACTACTCTTAAAGTAAACAGCACAGAATCCACAGGTAGGTGGTTTGGCGTTTGGTTTGAGTGTTTTTTTTTTTAAACTTATTTTGTGGGAATTTTATGATGGTTTGTCAGTTCATCTTGTGTACAAAACTGAATTGCACTTGATTGAGAACTCACTCAGAAAGTATGACATAGTTTTGTTCTCAAGATGAATATGTGTTCAGTCTCCACCAAAGAACCCCATATATCTGTGTTTACCTTTTAAACTTTGAAACAATTTCACAGAAAGGTTTAATTCAAAAACATCTAAAATTGATTAATTTTTAATGCTTTCTAATATCTTATGCCACTTTAACCCTGGTTCTTTGGTGATGGAGGTGATTTTGGTTTACATGGAAATGTATTTTCTGTTTGTAAGAAAGGTGTTTGATGCCCATGATATAGTTCCTCAAAATTACCCACTTGAAACTTTTTTCATTCTTTGAATAAGTCTATATTGTCATTTGTGAGTTTCTTCTTGTGAAATTGTACACTTTCTGTAGTACTTGAAGCCACTATAGTTATTCTGAACCATTGTGGTTTTAAGATAAATGATTAAAGGTAACAGAATATAGGTGAAAAACCAGTGTTTTAAAGTATAATATCAATATTATATAAATATATATATATATTTTATGCATCTATCTTTTGAATTTTAATTCTGCATGCTAAGCTCTAGCTAACCCAGCTCATTCAAGCTACAATCATGTGCATTTTACGCCTTTCTTGCAGGAACCACATCAGAATCTCCATCACCAAGTCATTCGGATAAAGAGGACATAGCCTCACCACCACACATCGAAGATACTGTACAATCAACCAATACATTAAGTTCCAAACCTTCGACACCATCGTCCAATGGATTTCCAGGGGACACGCCTCCGTTCAATCATCTTCCATTTCCGCCAGATCCACGATTTAATTTCTTCCCATTTCCTGGATCACCAATTCATCCGAGTTTTCTGCCTGTGAACATGATTAAAACTGAGCCTTTAACAAGCTCTGGTGCTTTAGACACAGCCTATGTGGCCAAAACTGTGAGAGAAATATTAAGTGTACATAATATTGGCCAAAGACTCTTTGCGAAAAATGTGTTAGGATTATCTCAAGGAACTGTTAGTGAACTTTTATCAAAGCCAAAGTCTTGGGATAAATTAACAGAAAAAGGTCGTGAATCGTATCGAAAAATGCACGCTTGGGCTGTGGATGACAGGAATGTGATAGCTTTAAAAGCTATATCTCCAAAGAGAGGTAAGAAAACATTTATTTCTGGTTTTTAATTTACTATCTCATGGTATACAATTTGTGGTCAAAGGGAAGTAACTCTGATGAAGTATGACAAGCATAGTTATCAATAAACAGAAACAGGCATTTCTACTTTATAATTTCTGATTGATATAACATTTCAAATATAGTACAAAAGAGAACTTGTTAATTATATAGAATCATAAACAAATCTTATTGAATCCTTGTTAGACATTTAGAGGTATCACAGCACATAACAGATTGTTTCTTAAAATCTTGTTTAATGAACTCATTCAATAGTTTTAAATTCCATCTTGTATTTTTATTTGGTATAGGATCTCAGCCATTAGTGTCTTCTGTACAAAAAGAAGATTCTGCCACTGAAGAACGAATAGCACATATTTTAAATGAAGCTCATCAGGCTATGCATATTAAGAAGTCAATTGAGCAGGTAGCTAGTTTTCTTATTGAAATGTATCATGTGTTTTTGCATGGGTAACAACAATTTTATGATGGTTATGTAACAAACCAAAGGTATTTGAACTCAGAAAGACTTTTTTTTCCAAAATATTTATGAATTTGTTTTTTAAATGTGAATGATTTAAAGTAGAACACTTCTTGACTTTATTTGTAATATTTTTGACATTTTTGTAAAAAAAAAATTTTTTTTTGTTTTAGCAACAAGTAGCTAATGCAGTAGTTTCTAGTATCTATCAACAAGAATTATCTAGAATGGTTGGTGGTCATCCTGGACATCTGAGTTCCCCACCAACATCTGTGTCCAGTGTACCATCAAAAGTTCACTCGACAACCACCAAGATGTCCACTGGAGACAAATTGTCTCGTCATTCAATCAGCTCTCAGGACAGTGAAGCATCTGCTGAAGAAATGGTGACAAGAATTTATCGTCAAGAGTTGGAGAAATTGGCTAAAGCTGCTGAAAGTGCTGGTAACTTGGCAGCTTGCTCAATGTATCAACATGAATTAGCTCGTCTGGCACATTCTTTCGGTCACCCACCGAGACATTTTTTAAATGGGAGTTCAGATAATCTGAACCAACAAGATAATGGTATGGAATGGAATGTTAAGTCTGAGCCACCAGATAGTACTTGTGATGATATGTGTAACAATAATGGACCAATAGATCTTAGTAAACACAGTTCATCACCTCCTTCACCAAATACAGATGCCAACGACTCACGTCATTCTGGAAGTGCCTTTAATCTTGTCCGACCTCGTGTCAATGGACATGATGCATCTGATAATCCCAGACATCCTTACTCCGCTGAATCTTTATCACCTTTACAAAGGATGCAAAATATTGCCAATTCTCTGACCTCACGACCTCAACTGGGTATGCCACCTTCGAAACCGCTGCGATCTGTTCTGCCTCCTATTACTCAAGAAGAATTTGATAACTACGCCAATGTAAATACTGATGACTTAGTGAAAAAAGTCAAAGATACACTTAGTCAGTATTCAATCAGCCAAAGGCTTTTCGGAGAAACAGTTTTGGGGTTATCACAGGGAAGTGTTAGTGATCTCCTGGCGAGACCCAAACCTTGGCACATGTTAACACAGAAAGGAAGAGAACCCTTCATTAGAATGCAGTTATTTCTGGAAGATGCTGAAGCTATTCCTAAGCTAGTAGCCTCGCAATATAGAATACCTCCAGATAAGTTGATCAGAGGACAAAGTCGAGAAGAAACACAACCAGGTATGTACTACAATGCTTGTTCTTTTCTATTTTAATTGGTAAGTACTAACTAGTAGGTGTGAAAACAATCTTCACACTGCCAGGAGTTGTAGTTCTTAAGAACCATTCTGCTAATGGCTTGTAAAGATGTATGTTATGCTAAGGTTATATAAAAACGGCTGCTACACAACACAACCTTTTGGCAGCAGTACACATTTTGTCCAAATATTTTAGCTATAGACGCTTTTACATGGCATTGCAAAATAGCACAATTTTGGGACAAGGTATAGCACTGTATTTTTTTGTTTGTTTTTTTATTCTATTTTTGCAATGATTCCTTCCATCTCCACAGACAAATTTGCACTGACTCTATTTTTATCGTAGAAACTCATCTTTTGTAATTCCCAGCACTAGAAATGTTTCACCTTTATTTAGTATCAATTAAATGTAGATAAGAAATCCTTTTAGATTTGGTTGGTAGTAATGATAAAACAAAATCTGTTGTTACAATTATACCATATTCTTACACATTTTCTCCCAAAAGTATTATTTACTTCTAAATTTAAAGTTTTGGGAAATCTGATTAAAGATTTAAAATGTGTATAAGAGATAAGAAATGTAAGAGGAACTAAAAGCAGACGTAACAACAGGTTTTGTGTTAATGTGTTTTTTTTCCCCTTTGCTCTCTCTGTCTAGCTCTTTTTCCCTATTTTATTTTCTGTAGAACCTCCTTCAAGTGAAAAGTCGTCTTCTAAACCTTTACTACCGGTGCCTGCACTTCCCCCAGCTGTACCTCTGCCCACTGAGGTTCTTGTGCACGAACAACAACAGCGAAATTGGGGGTCAGCAACATTTCCCTCTTCAATGTTGGAAGTGATTGCTATGACCTCAGAGATAGACACTCTTGATCTTACCAGTCGAGTCAAAGATGTTCTCCAATTTCACAATCTTGGTCAGAAATTATTTGGTGAAGCCGTTCTTGGGCTGTCACAAGGTTCTGTTAGTGAACTTCTTTCGAAACCAAAACCTTGGCACATGTTAAGCATCAAAGGGAGGGAACCCTTCATTAAAATGCATCTGTGGTTGAGTGATCCTCAGAACATTGACCGATTAAAACATTACCAAAGTCAAATTAAAGGTAGGTGTGACTCATCACAATGCAAGTGGTGCCTGTCCTAATACGCCTGCTAACATCTAGGCATGTCGTTGTTAACCTCCATTATGCCAACAACCAAAAATAACAAGTATTTATTTATCAGATGGGGGTTAAGGTATAAATATTGGATATCAAACCTAATTATTATTCAAATCATGGTGGATGAAAAATAATATTTATAATTTTTATATGGGTTCAACATGGTATTGGTTTTGTTAGTGTCAAATTGAAACACTCATGTATATTATTTTTGATTGAATATTTATGAACCTTTCTGAATCGTGGTCAAAAAGGGGGGCATGTCTATAAAGAATCTGCTTTTCATGCTTAAGTTAAATATATTATATTTCTGTTATAAATAACCTTTGTTTCATGTTATATTTAAGGCTTGGCTATAACAACGCATGATTCTAAGGGGGATAACTATCAAAGACAATGCTGATCAACATGACATATCCCCAAATTCCTCCAAATATTTTACACAGTTCTGATGCCAGAATTAACCAAAAGGCTTAGAAGACATTACTAATTGTTTATAGTTCAATAACAAACTTTCTAACCCTACTTTAACAAATAGGATATACTAGAAAATTATTGTTAGAGGTATTCATCTTTAAACAGAATTTAGAAATGGATTTTTAACATTGGACTGGGTAGAACAAATCAACGTGTTATCAACAGAATTGAAAATTACATATTTGAAAAACCATATCATATTTTATATTCTCATTTCTCTCTCTTCTTTTCTATGCTTTTGCACAGCTTTGCACGGCTTTGGTATATATATATATTACTATATTGGTGGATGGAATTAATTGTTTTTTTAGTTATATTACTTATTACTGTATTGTATATATATATGTATTACATATTGAGTTGAATTCATGTGGGTTCATTAAGGGAATGTATCAAGCCCTAGCCAAATAGTTTTTAGTTTATTGGTCCTTTTGGAAAACTTTTCCCACCTTTTTAGAGTGTTCACATGCATACGAATTGTGTATTCAAGTCATGTAAATGGATTTTGCCTATAGCAAATATTTATTCTTCTCATTCTTTTGTCTTTACAGCTCACCGCCGACGAAAAAGCAGCCTAGATGATCGATATTTCGAATCTCCATCACAGCCAAAAAGACCCAGGGTATTTTTTAGTGAAGATCAAAAAGATGTGTTAAGGTTGGCTTACACACAAGATCCATACCCGAACCAAAGCACGATCGAAGCACTAGCTGCTGATTTAGGTGTTGGTGTTAAAACTGTTATCAATTGGTTTCATAATCACAGAATGAGAGCAAAACAACAACATCACCAAGGTGTTAATAATCCTGTGTCAAATGGCAACTCTGATACAGGTACAGGTAAATCAGAGCCTCATGATGAGAGCTCTAATCAGAGTGAGTCGTCAAATGTATCCGCTGATACTATGGCTCGTAATCATTTGACTGGAAATTTTCCCAGTCGCAAAGAAACGCAACAATGGATGTTCCCACAGTTTGAACCTGTCCAACATGGCAGGCATAAAAATTCATCAGGTGAAGAAGATGATGATGATGGTTTATCTGATGCAGATGATGTCAATATGAATTCATATAACAATGATGATGTTTATTCTGATGGTGATGCTGATGATGAGGTGGATGGTGATAGACCCAAAATGGCGCCTTCAAGTGAATCAAAGTTAAATCCAGCTCCACTGAGTGCTGGTGTTAACAAACGTAAGCGTTCTAACCCCCAGAGGGTATATGAGGGAACTCAATTAGACCGAACTCAATTACGAGTCCTCAAAGGTAATGGTGCTATTACACAAGAAACAAATGACGCTGATAATGTGAACGAAGACAATAAAGATAGTGAAAGTGACACTGAACGTCTTTGTGAACGTGTGAAAAAAATGGAAAAGCTTGAAGTTGAAGATCGAGAAGACACTGACAAACAAGATGGTGTAGATCGAGGTGCAAAAATTAACAAACTTGAAAAAAACATCGAAAATAATGATTCCAGTGAAGATTGGGAATTCTAAAAACTGTTACCTCATGGTAGCCTAGATGAATCTTTAACAAATATCAAGTGAAATTTTAATGCTTTTTTTTTACCAAATATCGTAATTTTGGTGGAAATAAATATCTATTTTTGTATTTTTCACAATTTCAAACTATTTTTATCTTTTTACTATTTGATGTTTATGAATGTTTATTCTTCACATGTTACATATTTCAAGTGCTTTAGTCAAATTTTAATACATTCAGTGCTCCTTTCTGATGTAATTTTTTATTCAATTCACTCATATTTTAATCACATTTCCCGTATTTTTAAAAAGTTTTGCCATTTTTGGACGCTTGAAAATTGTCATTTGTCAAAGCATTTCGTTGCACAGCTCTTATTTCAAACATCATTCACATAATTGCCAAAATCTTATTATTAGTGCCATGATTACGAACTTTGAATTTGTTAAATCCTTTGTTGTTAGAAAAAAAATAATTCAATAAGCATAATACATAGAAATAGATATTACAAAGACTTGATTTTCAGCGATATTTTGTTAAGAATAGAATTTAGAATTGTCATATTTGAGTTATTATTTTGTTATTTGTTTAAAAAGAGTTTTTTCAAATGTTGTGAAACACTGCCTCATCATTTTGATCTATGCACATTTTGTCCTCGAGACTTACATATAAATATACACTGAATATTGGATAGAAAAAATTTGGAAAAACTTTAAAGAACACTTTTGAATTTCTATTACACATGAATAAATGAATGGGATACTACTAACCCAAGAGTGTAGAAGGCGCCAAATTAGTTGAATTTAGTACAGATTTAAACAGAATCAATTTTTTCTGTCCATATTCATATTATCTTCCAAATGTTCAATATGCACTACTAGTCATTTAGGGTAGACGAAAATCAAAGCTCAAATTGATATTGTATTGTTTAATGTCATTACACTGTGTTTTATTAATCAGTGTTTTTGTTAAAAAATAAATTTTTAAGTTCTGTTTGCCGCTATGTTTAATATATGTGCAATAAATTGATTGGATCAAAATATAAAATAGGCAGTATAGTCTGGAGAATTACAAATTTTGAAATGATATTAATATAATTTTTCCAATAGCGCAATATTTTAGCGTGCAATACTAGCAATTTTCTCGATGGTGTTCAAATTTCAGACTTGAAATTCTTTATCAATTATGTTTTATTATTATTAGATTTTATTCTTAGTTTGCGATAGAATATGCATAAATAGAATTATTTAGTCTATCAAGAATTTAAATGGACTTGACAGAAAAATTTAGTTAACAATCCCAAAGAAATAAGTAACATTGTCCATTTTGATTATGTTTATATGAATGATCAAAACATAATTATGTTATCTAATACAAACTATGTTATTATTATCTAGCTTTAACTTTGTATATCTTTTATGTTATTAAGTTTATGTTAAAACTTAGTGAAGATTAGTGCTTATCTATGTTATTCTTTTCTCTATGCCAAAGACATCAATTTTGATTGTTCACTTGTTGCTTTTCTCTCATTTTACGCAAAAATTTCAATGTATGTTAAAGAATTTGAAATTTTTATCAAGATCTCAAAATTCACCAACAAAAGCTTTATATTCCAAATCTCAATTTCAGCCAATGTTGATTTTTATATTTTCATTTCATTTATTATTAAAAATCATTGTTATAATCTCAAATCATTATTGTACCATTTTCAGATCTGAAACTTTGCAAATTGGATTAGATTAAGTAAGATGTATATTCTACATCATGTTTAGGCTTTCCATAGTGGCTTTAAATTCAGATTATAATTATTAAAAGATGAATGTTTAAACAGTAATGGACAATTTTGAAATCTTCCTATCTTGCCTTATCTTTATATTGATATTGTTATAAATATATTTTTCTTGTTTATAGTTTTTCTTGTATAGATTGGAAATAAGTGGATGGAAAACACCTTGATGCAAATTAATTTATGGAAAGGGATATTTTAAACAGAAAGAAAAATAGGCAGAATATGAATGAAATGAACCAAATAATTTTAAGTGGAATGATAGTTGAAGTCTCAGCCAAACTCATCACAAGCTGGAGTTTTTCTAGAAAGGGGTTTGCATCAAGGTTGTTGTTTTCCTGCCTTCTTATTTAAATATTCTACATATATATTTTAACACAGAGCTTAATGTGTACCAAATCCTATAACTACCAAAGATATTTTTCCTTATAATAAATGTCATAATCATTATTATTATTATTACTGATCAAATAATTATTTGTCTATTATCTATTTCTTCGTTATCTTTTTTGTAATTAACATTAATTAAAAATGTAGTCTTATTTTAGTTAATACTTATTATCCATGTATTATTTGTTATTTAGAAAACTCATTAATGGATTATATAGTGTATTCAAGTGTATATAAAGTTGCATGCTCTCAAGTAATGATAATTTTTTTTATACCTTAATCATGTATAGAAGCGCATCAAATTTCTGAATTTTTCTTATAAACAGTTGAAAATTTAGTGCATGTATGTGTTTTTTTTTTGTAAAATGTTATTTTGATATCAAACTCTAAGAGTTAGGAACCACATTTAATGGCATGCGTAGGATTGTTATAAGTTGTTCGTAGTGTTTTTATTATTATTTGATTATGCATAAAAAAAGAATTCTATGCCTTTACAATTATTGATTTATTATGGCATAAGGGGTAACTCTAGTGACTCTCTGTACATTCTTACCCATTATAATCTTATATTCATTATATAAGAAATTAGGATAATCTCTTTGAAACTGATATGTTCCGACATTAGATAAATGAATCTTGAAAAGGTATATCCTTAATATATCAAACCAGTTTGTGAATAAATCTGTGAAGATTTGTATTAATAATGTAAATGCGGCTTATTAATATTCTAAATACTTACTGGTATATTAATGGGTATATTAATAATAAATGCAACTTACTTTTCTCAAGATAACTTACTTTAAAATCAAACTGTATTATCAGTGTAACAAGTATTTCCTATTGAGTTCGATATGCTTAAATTTGACAACAAATTATATAGCATACAATTGACCAGATTCTCAAATTTTATTCATGAAAATACCTCTTCTTGAATTGTATGGTATTATTGATAAAAAGTAAACTTAAATATATTGAATTATTTTGAATTTTTACCAACAACTTACAGAATTGAAATAATAGATTATGAAAAATTATGAAATGTCAACTAATTTTAGAAATTAGAAATCATATTTGTTCAGTTTTAGAAACTCTAGGTATAATTAGTATTTGATTAAGTTTAATTACAAATATAACGAAATAATAGACAAATCAAAATAAAATACGTTACCTCTTGTTTTCTTACATTCTCTCAAGTTTCATTTGATTCAGATAAAATGGTATTTTGATAATGATCAGTGCAGGAAAGAGAATTTATCGAGTGGTTTAACATGATCAAATGGATCCTGTAGTGTTTATGAAAGAAAGCTATTGATTCATTTGATTCTTAATGCAAATATAACATCTGGAGATGGAAGCCATTAAATCTGAATAAAATGAAAGTTATCTATTTTCAATATTTTCTATCAACATAAATTTTCTTAATTGTTACATTATGTACCCTGTACAGCCTTTTTCTAGTCTTCAATTCACTGTTAAAAAGTGCATTTATATACTTTTTCATAGGTGCTTCAAAATTATGTTAAAAATAAACATATATGCAAGAATTTCCTTGTTTTCTTTTGTTTTCCAAATTAGAGTATCCAGCCGTTTAATCCTGTCATGGAAATTTTACCCTGACTAGAAATTATAGGCTCTCTAGAACATATTTGACCATGTTATAGAACATGTAGACACTTTCATGAAAATAATAGTGTCTTCAAAACTTGTTGAACCCTGCAATAAAAATTTAAATATCTCTTGAACACTATTTACCTCTAGGACATGTTTTACCCTTCTCTTGAAATTACAGTGTTTTCAGAACATCATGTTGCCCTTGTCATGGAAATTATAGTGCCTCAGAAACATATTGTTCCTGTCATAGAAATTATACTTCCTCAGGAACATGCTGCACCTGTCATAGAAATTATAATGCCTCAGGAACATGCTGCACCTGTCATAGAAATTATAATGCCTCAGGAACATGCTGCACCTGTCATAGAAATTATAATGCCTCAGGAACATGCTGCACCTGTCATAGAAATTATAATGCCTCAGGAACATGCTGCTCCTGTCATAGAAATTATAATGCCTCAGGAACATGCTGCTCCTGTCATAGAAATTATAATGCCTCAGGAACATGCTGCACCTGTCATAGAAAATATAATGCCTCAGGAACATGCTGCTCCTGTCATGAAAATTATAGTTCCTTAGGAATATGTTGCCCCTTTCATGAAAATTATAGTTCCTTAGGAATATGTTGTCCCTGTCATGAAGATTATAGTTCCTTAGGAATATGTTGTCCCTGTCATGAAGATTATACTTCAGTTCGATACTATTATTTTGTCCCTTTCCTTTAGACAAATTTTGCCCTTTCATAAACATAACGTTACAAAAAATGTTCTTAAGACATATTTTACGCGGTCATGGAAATTATAGTGACTCCTGAATATGTTTCACACACTTATGTAAACTATAATAACATTTTCTGTACAAAAAATGCTTTGAAAAGATATGTTGTGTAATAATTTGTATGGGTAAGGTTACCATTACGAAGGTAAGAGATTGTTGTCTTTCAGATGAAAAAATATGAAAGGAATAGTAGAATAATTGATTCTTTAATCGTGTTTTCTTGGAATTAAACAGAAAACATATAATTATATTTATTCTGACATTTATACCCCAATATGGTGGAGACTGAACATATACTATAAAATTTTGAAATCAAATGAACTAGTGATGTTTTCATTTGAATCCTTCATTGATTTTTCTCGTAGAGGTAGTGTACCCTGATCACATTGTTTTCCTTTATCAATTTTCAGAACGTTTTACTAAACTACAAGAAGCCTATCGTGAAGCTGCAACTACTCTTCAGGAACAGAAATCCCTGATCACCCAACTGGAAGAAGACTTGAGAAGTGTCAATGCTTTGTCTTCTATGTTCAGAGGAGATGCAGAGGTGAGGATAAAGCAAGTAGATTCAGTAGGATTGGCAGATGCAAATTGGATGTTTGCATGTTCAAAGAAAAAAAATAACTTCTGAGAACTATTTGTCAGTATTTCAACTAACTGCCCTTGCTGTTTGTTTTAGGGAGAACCATGTGTTAAAGAGACTGGGTCTGATGTTCTAGCCGAGGCTGTTAAAGATGTTGTCTCACCAGGTAATTGTTGTTTCATATGAGCTGATTGGTACATCGGTCATTTTGTTTTTAAAAACAAACCATCTGACTAAAATGACACCTTACTAGAATAACATCTGACAAGGAGAATGAAAGACCATCTGACTAAAATGAATGATAGACAAGAATTAATTGTTATCTGACTGGAATTGGTGGTTATCTGACAAGAAAGAATTTAACACAATATATTAACCAAATAAAGATCATTGAAGATGAATTTTGAAGGAAACAATTTCGGATTCAATATGCGAAAGTTTCTTTACTAATTATTTATTGCAGTACTGATGGATGGTAGTAACAAGAATGCTGAAAATTCAATTCTACCAATAGTTCAGAGTCAGAGAGAACGATACCGTATTAGAGCACAGGAATTAGAAGCTGTAAGTCTTTCACAGCCAGTTTAGTGGACAATCTTGTGAACTTGTTCTCACTTACCAAATTATTTGGAACAGGACAAAAAAACTGCAATTGGACATGAATGGATAATATGTTTAGAATGAATTATCCATTCTCACTGAGGTATCATTGGTGTGAATAATAAACAATATGATCTTAATCATATAAAAATAATACTTTTTGTCATGAAAGTTATGAATTTGCTTTGATTCATATGTCATGAAATTTTGCAGTGATTCTTATTACATGAAACATTATTATGATTTATAATTGATGGTTGTCTGCTATCTGTTTCTATATTATATGGGAAATGATATATATTATAACAATCTGAGCTTACAAAAAGTTATATCTTGTTTACAGCAAACCCTGAGTCAACAACAACAGGTAACTCTTCTACAGAATGAAATGGACAAGTTACGATCTGATAATGTTAAGTTGTATGAAAAGATAAGATTTCTACAAAGTTATCCAACCAAGGTATGATTTTAAGAATACCAGACCATTGTAAATTGATCATTGTCGATTTATTACTTTTCATATTGGTAGCCTACTACATGTATCTCTATGATCTTATTTATCAGTGTCTTAAACTGCTCCTGCGTATGCCCACATGTACATGTAAATGTCTTCGGCAGAACTAAAAGATTCTCTAATGTTATAGATTTATCAAGATATATGATATTGAATTGATTTAAATATAGAAAAATGTAATTGTAGACACCAGGTAGTATGGAGGACGGTACAGAACATCGTTATTCATCTCAATATGAAGAAAGATTGGATCCTTTCTCTACATTCAGCAGAAAGGTAACCTACTTATATCTTATAAAAAATATTTGGATATATAGTCAAGCCAGGATTATTTGTGCTCATATGTCAAACGGCCTAAAAAGTTAGGCTTGAGCTTTGCAACATATCACGGTAATGAATGGAAATCATAGTTTGCCAGAACAATGCGAATATTGTTACGAAGATGGACAAGATTGTAATGATAAAAAATTTGCATTGTGGCAGTGACACCTGGGGTATTTTTAAGTATATCATATAGCATTTTGCACATCTAGGCCCTATTTAAAAAAATATCATATGATAACAATTTATTTGTGAGCGTGGAATTTTACAATGAGAAATACCATACACTGCTCTGCACATCCAGGCCCCAGGCTATTGTCCCATTAAAATGCCAGTCATTTTTAATTAATGTCTTTATTTACAGGAGAAACAAAGAAGATATATGAATCTAAAACCTTATGATAAGATTACTTTAAGTATGGTATGTGTCATATATTGCAGACAAACTTTTTTGATTTTCATCATTTTACAAATTAAACAATAGGTATTTGTTATATGTGAAATGAATTGACAAATAAAGGAACATGTTGACAAGATTTCAGTTAAATGTGACAAACTAGAATAATATTAACAACTATCTTTCACTGACCTTAAGAATTGCAATTAATAGAACAATTATCTTTTGCTATTGATTTGGAAAGATTTATTATAATTTTAAGTTGTGTTTATTTTTTGTAGGGTCAGTTTATTATGGGAAATAAGGTAGCTAGAACTGTAACATTTTTCTACACCTTGTTACTTCACTCTATGGTGTTTTTAGTTCTCTATAAATTGGCTCATACTGAAGACTGTAAGAGAGATTTGGCTGTTGAATGTCATCAAAAGTAAGTAAAAATCTAGAAACATTATAGTGAGTAATGTAATTTTGTTTTCAGACAGCAAAATTTTAATAGGATATTTTCATTTAAAGGTTTTAACTTGACCAGCTTACAAAACAATCTTCTCTCTACCTTAATGAAATTGCATCTGCTGGTAAAGCCCATATTTTGACAACTGTACTCTTTAATGACATTTTTGTACAAAACTATGATTATTTTTTTCTATGATGGAATAATATTTATCATTTAGGTTTGCTGATCATATGAAGAAGGTCCATGGTGAAGCTGATGATCATTTTGGACATTAGAAGACAACACCAACACCTAGCATTTGGGAACAATTTACCTTTACTTTTATTTTGTATTGAATTGAACAGATCACACAATTGGTACTTATTTTTGCTAAGCTAAAGGTCTAGAAATATTGCGATAGAACAAAAATTATGTGCCCTGCAAAGAACTAGTAAGAAACATTTTCGATTCCAACAATTTGGAACATTTCACGAACAGAATGCAAGAATGATATATATTGTCTGCATTCAAGAAAAAATTGTAATTTGGCTTCTATATGTTAATAAGAATCTGGACTTTCCACCGTTTCTGTGTGAGCTTCATTATTTATGTTATATTACATTTCATATTATTATATTATATAAACATATATAAATATAAGTTATTTAAGAATATCATTCTGTGCATTGAAAACTTGCCACTTCTTTTCATTTTCAAATATTGGTTATCAGTTTCCTGTGTTTATACCGGTAGTAATATATTAGTATCTTTGTGCCTACATAAATAAATTAAAAACCTTTTATAAAATTATGATTTGATAGCAAAAACAAGTTCAAAATTTATATAGTTATAAAGTTATTATTGGTAAAATTATAATGTAGTTTAGTTTGTATTTGATTTTAATAAAGTGAATCTCATATGTTTGTATTTTCACCATCATACCATGAACAGTACAGTCTAGAGCAATTCATCCATGTCAGCCTCAGATCTCACAATCAGTCTGTAACATATTGTGCAGTCATCTATTTACCTTACCAGCTGATAGTCTGTAACTTTTATTAAAATCCAACTGATAGTTTACAATAATAATAATTATGAAAATTTCATTTGTTTGCATAGTTAATATTATCATCTGGTATAACAAATACTTAGACAACTATATCTCAGTAGATCTCAATAATAAAATATTAGTGCTCAATACATTAATAGTAGAGTGATATATATATATTGAAGAATAAAGAGATCAAATTATAGATTGAAATGAATACATTGTAGCTAATGAAGATGATAAACACAAGCAGTGAAGGAACAAGAAATCTTTGAACAATGGTACCAATTTGTTTCCTCTCTTGCCGAAACCACTACTGATTCCTATTTTGGGTGAAAGAATAAGCAATAAGAGATGAACATATATCATTTATTACCCCATTTTAAATTAGTACAATAATATAAAATATGAGCAAATCGTAAGAAAAAATTGTCTACCAAAATAAGCTTGTTATAATCAGAATACAAATTTGCTAATAATCTGAATTTTAGTGATAAAATAATGAAATACAAGCAGACTATTAGTGGAGGAATCAAACAATGAAAACGGGACACAGAGTTTTTTTTCAGTTGGCTGCCATTGTGCATAATATAACCAGCAAACACATAAATAATATAATGGTAACAAATTTGCCAAATATAAGAAAATTTTGGCATGTCAGACTGAGCGAAATAATACTCTTACCTTCTTAAAAATATAGACTAAGAATTATCAGAAATGGATGATTTTAAAGGAATACTACTTCTTAGGAAGGGCATAAAATTTAAAGTTTCAAACTTGGTCAATGATAGTATATATTCATCAGATGGACTTACCAAGTGCCATGACTAAAGACTCAATAATAAACAATATATCCATTAAACTTATTGAAAAAAAGCTTCTAAGCATGTTTCAAAATTACTTAGTGTTATGGATTATTGGATTATTGAGGGATTCTGTGTGTAGTTTTGACATCAGGTAAGTCCACTGATGAAGATTCATTTTAGCCAAGTTTTCAATTTTTTGGTCATCCTAAGAGGTAGTATATATATAGTATATGTAATATACTCCAATAAGAATACAATTCTATTATCTATGTATACATGTTGTACAATATCTTGGGACTTCATTGAATATAAAAATAACAGCAATAAATACATAATGGGACTCTTATCTGATATGATAATTAACAACAGATATATATTAAAAAAAACCTATCTGATAAACCATCTATACATATATCACATTATAAATATTGATTATTTAAATAAATTAAATTTAACGTTTATAATATCACACCTACTTAATATTAACAATTACATCTCTCAATTTGATCAAATTGCAGATGTTTTGTTTAATGATGCAGATGTTTTGTTTAATGGTCTATGTACACACATGTAACAACAAATTAAATGCCTTCATTAACTTCGGCTACGAGAGCCCCAAGGGATTCATTTAAAACTATGCATTGTGCTTACATAAAAATCTATTATTGTAAGAAAGATGCATAGTTTTGTATGTTAAGCAACTAACATTGTTTCAGTGCACATATTATCACAAAAAAACAGAAAAATTACTTGTTTAAACTAATTGTGGTCAAGACAAATATTGATATTTGTTATGATTGTAATTTGAACACAGACGAAACATTGTGTTTAGTACACATATCATTAAATACTACCAATACAACAATCAGGCTAGAGGAATAATAAATTTAACATCATTGGTGTAAAATGTCACAAAAATATTGGAATGGGGTAAAAGACGTATACTTCCGTTGATGTGAACATAAGTACCACAAATACCAAGATGTATATAATTAAAACTGAACTGTGTATCATCATTGTTTAGTAGTGAAAATACCCTAAAGACTGAAAACATCATACCTTAATGATGGAATAATAACATATTTTCACTGTGAAACTGTGAATAACAACATGTTTCAGGTTCTGTTTTAATATTTTAACTTTAATGAAACAAAAACTGTTTTTCAGTTATACATGTATTTTAATCTCAGATATTTGTCTTCAGATAAAATAGTGCTAAATGCATTTCATTGTAGAGTGAGATAGAAACAATTATTATTCTTACATATCTCAACACAATTTTATGCTATGTTATTTATTTATGTATATATATATTATGTATGATTATTTGAATGACTTCATTGCATGCGATGTTTCAAGATAGCACACCATTAATTTATACAGTGACACAATATTTTTGTACAATACTCCTTGAGTTTTATTATACAGAACGTTTCACCATTAAGTTATAAATTCTTCCAACTGTATTTTACATAATCATCCAATACACCATAAAATCATTAAAAGTTTCATGGCATACTACTCTTAGAGTTATACAGTACGCATTATTTTTCAACACATAGACCATAAAGTTGTGATTTTTTGTATTGTTTATTTCATTGTACATCAAATATTCATGCAGTACATGTAAGCCATAAAATAATTCTGTTCTTTTTATTAAGCCTAATGCAAACTTTGTCTTCAAAATGAATCATATTAAAGTTAGTTTTCATAGAAATTGGATGCTTTTTAATATACTGGTAGTTTTAGAAAAATTAAAACAGAACTTAAATCATGATGTTTCTCTGTTTCACGCTATGCAATATTTTATAGACTATGTGAAATGAGGATTGAGGACCCATTCAATTTTCCATCTGTCAGATGAAAAAGATAAATAATTAGCAATTAAAATTCAATTTACAGTCATATGAAAATGGAGCCAGATGTCAATTATAAAAAAAAAAACATTATCTAACAAATTTTAACCCCACTGAACCAGAAACTGTGCTTCTAATATCAAAATGTACTTTAGAACAGTCAGAGAGCTTTTCAAACAAATATTTTTGAGAATTATGAGATAATTTTGAGATTTAAACGAGGTACCATGGCGACTTATTTGTCAGTATTTTACCTGATGTCTTAAACATCCTTTAGGTTAGACAAATGACGAGGGAATTCTTATGCAAGCAGATAGCCGAGAAATCTGGTATGCTTCCTGGACGTGATTGGGATCTCAGAATATTAAAGGACCAGAAATAAATGTCACTTTTTATGAGAGTTGAATCCATTTTTGGATTGCTGGTTTTTAAGTTAGGGCAATCATAAGAAGTGACATTTTATGTCCAGCATGGTGATATCTATCTGTTATTCATGTCCAATGAATGAGTAAGATCAGCTTTGTCGGCTAACCCAGACTGATAACTGTGAACTGATCTAGCCAAGAACAGTTGTAGTCATTAAAGCTTTAGTTTGATCATCATTATTATCTTCAGATTCTGATTCTGATGGAGCGGCTCGGACATCTTGATACCACTGTTTTGTTAAATTATCCATATGATTTCTTCCTTCACGAACCTGTTGCTGAGTAAAACGTCGAGTAAAAAATGGTACTAAATATTTTGCATCAAATTTCAAAAATCCTTTTTGATTTGGTTTTACAAAATTCATTTCGTATTCTTCTTCTGTAAGTTCTGATAAATGTTCAGAATCTACAGTTTCTCCCATTTCTTTTGTTTTACTGAAAGTGATTTGACGCTTTTTCTTGGATTTCTTTTTCTTCTTGGTTGTGTTAGCATTTAATACTTTCATAAGCGGCATAGTGGCCCCTCCTAAACATAATATAGTAAATAGGACAATGATAAGAGTTGTTGTCACCAACACGGATTTTACTGGTTCCACAAAGTCCAGATGAAGACTCAAAGCAAAAGCAATAGCACCTCTTAATCCACTGAACCACATAATAAATTGCATTTTTCTGGTGATTTTGTGTTCTCGGAAAAAGTTCACCACAAATGATAAAGGAAATATGTTTATCCCTCTACCAAGAAGAATGAGAAATATACTCCATATAGTAAAAGCATACTTTACTTCGTGTTTGAAACTAAAAATGGCTAGTCCCTGATAGGCAAATACAGATGTTTCTGCTATAAAGGCCACTGTACGGAATGTTTGTTGAATGGTTATTTGGGTGACTGGTGATAAGTTATGATGAGTATAATGTGACATCACAATTCCTGCAAATAATATTGCCATGATTCCTGACAAATGCAGACCTTCCGCTAAACCGTATGGTAGATATGAAAAAATGAACATGAATCCAAATTCTAAAGAAGGAGTTTTATGTAGATCTATGTGTTTTAGTATAACAGCACTAATCAATGCAAAACAAACACCAATGGCAGCAGATCCAAAAAACATCAAACAAAATCTTCCTACAGCATGAAAAAATATAGAGGCACCACTCATTATAGCTGTGCTTGGATCTTGGAATTCTAAAACAGTAGTGGTTAATACAATAGAGACGGCATCATTTAATACACTTTCTCCAAATACCAACATGTACAATATAGGATCGACATCTATAGCTTGAAATATAGCCAATGTAGCAACAGGATCCACAGCTGAAATCAGAGAACCAAACGCAAAACTTTCTATTAGATTAAGCTTATAAGCTACTCCTGCTTTACCTAATAAGTAGATTCCACCAGCCACTGTCACTGCCGACAAAGCTGTTCCGAATACTGCAAAAACTAGAATGGATCCAATATTCTGGAAAAAGTTTCCTTTATGTAAATTGTACCCAGATTCAAAAATAATTGGTGGTAGAAGTACAATAAAAAATATTGTTGGTGAAAAAGTTTCTTCATTTTTCCAATTTCCAAACTCAAAAACATGAAACATAAGTCCAATAAAAGCGCCTATTAAAACAATACAAATACTTTCTGGAACGTAATGAAACTTGGTCTGAATTATTAAATGGACACATAATATACAAACAATGATCACAAGTAAAATGAAAAATATCATGAGACTGTAGTCGTGCTCCTGTTCTGCTGTGTTCTTCTCGACGCATTGTGGTAATTCAGTGGTGACAGGTGGCACTGTAGTTGAAGTTATGTTTGTATTGTTACTGTCTGAAGAATCATTTAATTTGTTTAACATAATTAATTTTATATTTTTCTCGAATTCAGATAATGGTGGAACTTTCCCTTTCGGTGGTTTTGTCAGGCTTGACTTTTCTTGTTCTGACTTTGCTGATTTTAAATTATCATCCACTGGAATTTGGTCCTCTGATAGTACAAAAACCACCAGAAACGTCAAATATAGTGGCAGTGCCACATATAACACGCCTTTAGTAAAACACATCATAATTTAAGTTGGTAAAAGATCCAAAATCTTCATTTGATCATTATCTCAGTTGACCAGTTGACAGCGTCATCAATGTTTTGGTTCATACATTATGCCGTGTAGAACGAGTCTACACTGTCCTTGACCTTATATTATGAAGCGTATCCAACTCTTGAAGAAAGTGAATATAATTTAGGTTCATTAGAGCAATTTCATACATTCAGATGGCACTAAGAAATATATTTTATGGTTTGAACTATACAAATTATAGGATATCTATGGTTTGAATGTAAATTGACACCAAATTCAATAACTTTATACGTTTCGTAAAATTTTATCATCAGGATACGTTTTATTGAACAAGGGGGGTAATTCGAAATCACAAAATGGTAGAAAAAATATTAATTTTGAAGTAAATTGCTGAAAACTGTACTTATTTTTCTTTGAATTACTTCCATTTAGCTTGCATTTGGTCAACATTATGGGGAAACGTAAAGATGTACCCGGTAGCACTGAAGAAGAAAGTATATCAGGTACTTATTTACTTTAGTATCAGTTTGTTTGTGATTGGATTCTTTTTCATATCCCATAAAGCAATACCAGGCAACTCGTCTACTTGTCAACCAAATTTTGTCCGAAATCTCATCTATTAAATATAACTCGTCGTTGATTAGTTTAAATCTTAAGTATTACGTTTATATTTACCGCTGATCTCCATTAATTGAAAGATCGCTCACTACTGAAACCATGTGTACAAAAAATATTTCCGATTGTTTGATCTCTATCAAATTGAAAACACCAACAAACATAATTATTGTTATTTTGCAGAATCTCCTGGAAGCAGCCATAAAAAACACAAAAAACACAAGAAGAAACATAAAAAGAAAAAAGATAAAGATTTAGATGAGAGCTTTGAGTCAACATCAGATTCTCCTGTTAAACCTGCCATTAGATTAAAACTGAAAATTGGAGGAGAAACATTGGGAACAAAAGAGTAAGTTTCATCAAATAATTTTTCACTTTTCTAACAGAATAAAAAAGGAGTCTGCAAAGAAACTGCAAAAAGTGCTAGATCAATCAAAATTTATGCAAATATTCTCAAATCTGAAAATTCAGTATTAAAGAAAAAACAATTTTTATGTCAGTCTGTGCTTAGACTTTTTTCAGAGACATTTATTCTCAAAAAAAGCAAAGAACCGGTATTATAATTTTATATTTACAGCATTACCCCATCATTAGATGATAATTCATCCAACTCATTAACTATTGAAGAACCTATTAATGTCACTGATACACCAACACCTTGGGAAGGTTTGTAATTTTCTGTAGTTAACATATCATGAAAACCTAACTATGAACAATCCAAACTATAAAAGGAAACCTGAATTCCAAAACAACAAATTGGCAAAAACATTGATAGAAGTTAATGAACTTTTCATATGAAGAAGTGTATCAATCATAACTTAGAAAGTTTTTCATAATGCAAAGTGGTCAAGTAGAGTAGATATACCCTCCCTGGTGCCACACCTACCATTACTTTTTGCACAAAACAAAACTGAGTGTCCAACTCATAAAACTACCAACAGAATGTATTTTAGAATTTTGTTTTATTTTAACAACAAAATTATTTTTCTGCAAAAGTGTTAACTATTATTGAATTCTATTCTTGAAACATTTATTTGAATTTGCAGCTAACCATCCTGACCAGATTTATATTGTGTTAGAATGTATGTTATTTTTAAGTGGTAATCAAACTACCTAGAAATAAAGACTTTTGAGTTAATTGTTTCTAGATTTGCAACATTGATTTGCGAACAGATACATGTATATAAAAATAACCTAGTCAATGTGGTCACAGATCAGTGTTTCTAGTTTTATCTGTGTATAATCCTAGGTGACAAACTAGATGATACATTTCACACCAAGAAATCAGGTGAAGACACCTCAGATGAAGAGAAACAATGGTTAGATGCTTTAGAAGCTGGAGAATTAGATGATTATGGTGATATCAAGAAAAATGCCAACACTAAACCATTAACCACCAGGCAGGTGAGAAATGCGGACCTTGAGTCTTTTGGGGTTGTACATTAGTCATTATTGTGGCTTCACACTACTGCCTTTTTATTTTTGCAAAATAAACAAGAATTCTTTGTTTTGTTTTGTAGTGATTGAAAAGAATCGTTTTGAACTATGTTTTGTCTATTTTTTGATCAATTTTTTTTTTTTTTAAATAATCAGAATTATGAGCTAGAGAGAAAATCTATTGTGTAACTGCCAAAGATTCATTATCCAAAACCCACAAATGATATCTGATGACTTTTTATTTCAGAAAGCCTTATTACATGGTCAGCAAGAAAATGAACTGTTACAATTACCCTCAGGTAAATTAGATCTTTAATTATAATAAGATACAACTTAAGAACTTTTTATTTATTATCTATTATTGGTTTTGTTCAGATTGAAGTGTTAATTCCTTTTAAGACAGTACACATAGCTATTATTGTTTATTTGGTATATTTATTGCAAACAATGATGAGCTGTGAATTATGAGCTTATGAGGAAATCTTAAGGCAAGATCTTATGGTAAAATCAAAATTCTTAAATTGTCGAGATGGAGATAAAGGAATTTTTAGTGAAAAAGGAAACTAAAGTTGAAATTTTAGCTATATCATATAGATTATTTAAACAATTTACTACACATACAATTGAAAAAGAGTTCACTTACCTTCTATTTCCATTTCAAAATGTGTCGAAAGTTTTCCTAGGTTGTCATAGCATCATGAAGTAAACCTTAGATCATCTCTTGCCTGAATGAGGTTCTATACTGTAAACCTTAAAATACCCCTTGAAATCTACTCACACCCATGCAGAGGTAAAAATATCTTGGTCTTTATATTCTCAATAAAGACTGAAAATAGAGTGAACAGTTTTCATCCCTTGATCAGTGTTTTAATTTTTTAACAAGGGTTTATATTGGTAATCAAGGCTAGTTTCTATTGTTCTAAATCCATATTGGGTGACTGTAAGAGACTGACATTTTACTTACAATGAAGGGACATTGACATAATAAAAAAATCTTTATTAATGTACTTTGATTCACATACTCTTAAAAATGGTCTTTTTTATCCGTAAGTTAAAACACAATCAACCAACCTCATTTACATATCCAATTTAAAATTTACTTTCCTTAATTGCCCGTACTTTAACGTTTTTTCAACTTGATCTGAAATCTTTTGAAAAAGATCCATTTGTAATTTTCGAAAAATTTATCAAGTTGAGCAAATTATATGTGTGCATAATTTCTGGTTATGTATTATTAAATAATAGATGGACAGTTTAATCATGTTTTAAATTTGGTCTTGGTGTAAGAAATCTTTGTAAATAATAATTCTAAAATTATCTATTTATTATATTTTTAGGTTATAAAAATGTTGAACTCACAGAAGAGCAATTACAACGAAGACAAGTCAGAGCCAAGAAACGTAGAATACAGGCACAGGAAAAGAGAGAGAAAGATAAGGTAGGTTTTTTTTAGTATGATTTTAGTCACATTCAGTTTTTTATTGATCTCAGTTACTGGGCAACACTTTGGGTGTCAAACATGTTGAAAAGATCATATATTGGCTGTTGAATTCAGTCATTTAAATGTTCATTAAAAAAAAAACCCAATGTACTTGTGTACTAAGTTTACAAGGCCTGTTTAGATTAGAATTGATTAAGTCACACATTGAAAATTATGAACTTCATTTGTAGTAATAAATTATATATAGGTAAATTAAATGATTAAATATTTGTTACATATGTATTTATTAGTAATGTATTTTTTTCATTTATTTTTGTAGAAGCAGACTTTAGATAGATTGTTAAAAAAACAAGATTCAAGAGCTCGAAAGGTAAAGTTGAAATTCTAAATCAATACTTACTTGTGAATAAATGCAAAATTTGCTGTGGAATAGATTAACAGTTTTTCAAAACAAATAGTGAATTCATAGCACCAAATTTTTTGTTATTGCCCTGAGAAGTGTATTTGTAGGGACATAAAATTTCGGGTTTGGCGTTTTAATTTTCACATTATTATTTTTGTGTGGACAGGAATTGATAAAAATTGAACTACACATCATATACTACAGAAATTAACTCAAATTTATATTCAAGTGATATTTTATATTTTAGGGTAGAGGATCTAAAAGATCAAATATACCAAGAGTTAGATATTTATTAAAATCAGGAGGAAACACAATATCTATACCACAAGGTTTTCAATTACCATTCACTCCACAACCACCTAGACTGTAAGTGTTTTATTATTGAACTTTCATATTTAAATCCATATTAATGCTTCTGTAATGGAAGATTTAAGGAGATTCCAAAATGAATTTTTAAGTGCTAACTTTTTGAAAAACAGTTTTTGATAATAAGAAAAGGAGTTTTACATAATCAGCCATATTTAGAAAATAAATTGCAAAGACTGGGGCATTATCATACTTTCTCTTTGTCGATTTCTAACTGTCAAACCATTAAAATGCTCAGCATGTAGCATAAAATGGCCTTGATTAATCATCATATCGGAAGAACAAAAGGCCATTTGCCATCTCTGAATGTATTGTTATTGTATATTTTCAGACCACCAAAGCCACCTGTGAAATGTGGTGTAAAAGGTTGTAATAATGTGAAGAAGTATAACTGTTCTAAAACTGATGTACCATTGTGTAGTTTAACCTGTTACAAGAAAAACTTAATTCATAGTCAATCTCAGACTGCTACCTCTGTTACCTAACATTGGGAAAATTCTCCATTTTTTCTAATTCTGAATGTCCAGTGTCTGTATAAAATAAAATGAAATTTTACAAAATCAATCTTTTGGAATGTTGTTGAGTCTTTTTGGGTTTCTTTGTATTTGTTTTCTTATATGTGACTAAATGAACTTTTATATTTTGTCAAGTTGGCCCAAATTTTGATAAATAGATGTTGCCTATCTCCCCTTTTAACAATTAGAAAACTGACCAGTCTGCCCTTCTCTACCAGACTTACCCACTGCTTTGAAGCTGTATATATTTTGGTCTTTTGATTTTTCTCCAAATTCTTTCAAATAAGTAGCATTACCATTTTGTTTCAATTGGTTTCATCTGCTACTTAAAATTTGACTTTTATTGTAAATTAGTTAAAGATATTCCCTTAATTTCTTCTCTTAGGTTATGTGGTCAAAGGGGAACAATAACGAAGAGTAAAACAAGAGTTGTTTCCCTTACACCATTGAAATGAAAATTAGAATAAAGAGGCGTGGTCAAATATGTCACATGCTCACGCTTACCAATCAGAGGTCCGAATATTGTTTTCAGGTGTTATTATTTTAGCAACAACATGGCGGAATGTAAACAAATGCATGTGTGTAATTAATGCGAAAACAACTTGTCCCTTTTCATCAATTTATGAAGCTTTAAAATGTGGCATTGCTCAGTGAAATGGGTAGTGGAAGTAGTGTTCAGTCTCGAGGATTAAGGAGCATTAGTCAAAACGGATTTGAAGAAGAAAATGATGAAGATGCCACAAATGGCATGAAAATAAATAGACGAATTTCGTCAAATCTATCACCCAATGTAAATGTTGACAACGGTAGCAGCAAAAAATATGGACGAAAAAAATGGTCCTCCAGACCCTCTACACAATCGGCATTTTCTTTGATGGTTGATAGCGATGAAGGGGATAATTTTATAGAAGAGGAATTTATTCTTACAGTAAGGATTGAATATTTCCTTGCAAGATTCCTCTCCAATGACAATGTAGTAGACCACCTACAATTACAATAAAATTAGGCTACATTGATATAGTTAATAAGAAGGGTAAATAAACCTACTGCGAGATTCAGTAGCCTGTTTGTTAAGTAAATAGATTTATCAGAGCATGATATATTCTGTCTACTAAAGGTCTGAAATTGATGATGCTCTGAAAATGAAATATTTTATTAAAGATCTTAACTGTAGGCTTGTCCTTGTCTTGATGCATTCCTTAAACCATTGGTGACAAATCTCTTTGACTCTGTGTACCCCTTTGCCACATTAAGACGCCCATCATGGTACCCCTTTTGCTTTTGATAAGCTATGAAAGAATGAATGGGCCTACTCCAACCAACATAAACTTAAAAGATATTCAATTCTACAACTGATAAAATAGAATACTCTATACGTCTTTCAGGTGCCCCCTGTGAATGATAAAGTGCTAGCCAATCATTGTGTATTCTCTACAAGATTATTCAAATTTATACCAAAGTTATTTAATTAATTTTAGACAAAAGATGAAGTTTGTGATGTATTAGATAGACTAGAAAATAATAAATTATATTGTGATCCACATTTCCCAGCTAATGACAGAGTTTTATTTTTTAATGGCTATAATAATGATATGGTTATAAAATGGATCAGACCACAGGTTTGTAGCAAAGTGTGATTTTTTCAATTAATACAATCAACTCAGGCAAAGTGTGCTAATACATAATACTTTGGTGATATAAGTATTTAATAACATGGCTTTGACAGATTCAGTTCTTTGGTTTCTCAAGACTTACTTGTATATTTTCATGTATAGTGCACAGTTTTGTATCAGCCATTTTGTAATTCAACACTGTTGGATGAAGATTTTAAATAAAATGGTATACCCCACTTGGCAAAGTCCTATCAATGTCACAATATATTTTAATTGTGTAGGATTTAGTATTAGATGGTACAGAACCTGAAATGATGATAGATGGTGTAACAAGAGATGATATAAGACAAGGTATATTAGGAGATTGTTGGTTTTTATCATCTTGTGCTGCTGTTTCACAACAAGAACGATTCATGAAAAAGGTAGGCCATGATAATGATAAAAAAAAAACCCACAAAGTTCATAAGGGGAAAGTACATTTGACATTTCAAAATAAAAGAGTTAGAGTGAGGTTGGTAAGATCCTAGCAGAATATTTTGGAGTTCTTTGTAGTAAATATTTAAGTACCTGTAGAATAATAGCTTTTTAATCTATACAAACAATAATAAAGTACAAATTGTTACCTATTATCAAGCAGTAAATAACAGCTCTAATGATGTTTATTTATCATAGTTGTCCTTTACTCTTGAATGACAGAAGATCTCAGTCATGTTTCTTTTATAAAAGACAAACATTAGACCAGTCTAAATTCAACATTGATTTCTCTCTTATAATGATATAATATACTTATTTTAAAATGATGAAATTTGATAAAAGCAAATCAGGACTAGGAGAGTCTAATAGGTATGCATTTCTCTGCTTTTTATTGCTGATACAAGCAATTCTTGTGGTCTCCATGAAGCAACTTTCGTGCAACACTTTAAAATTGTTTTTATTTTGCATGACATGACATTATGCTGGAATTGCCTGTCAGTAGCACATATGATCACAAAAAATAGCCTTTAAGCCTAACAATTTGTTCGAGTGCTGTGGCTTGTTAAGAAGTACTAGTTTAAAACCAATTTAGTCAAAGCTCTCAAAACTTGAAAGTATTTGTTTGGATGCTGAAACTCCATAAAAGACCTAGCTATTATTTCCTGAAAGCAATATGCCAAGGATTTTAATAATTGATCAAAATGCTACTGTATGTGAATGTTTTAAGATTTCAATAAAATATTTTCAGATATTACCTAAAGATCAACCATTATGTGGTAGAGGGTATCATGGTGTGGTATGTTTTAGATTCTGGAGATTTGGTGAATGGGTAGAAGTATATATAGATGATAGATTACCTACTGTAGACAGAAAACTAATCTATGCACATTGTACAGAACCTAATGAGTTCTGGGTAGCTCTTATAGAAAAAGCCTATGCAAAGTAAGTGAACAATTTGGTGAAATTATTTTCTTGAAGATCCCCTCAAAGAAAGTCATATCTAGATAATGATAGATAAGGCAAATAGATGATATGGATCATAAAGACCAGGCGGTAATTGTAATGTGCTTTTCGTTTTTTCACTGTTGGATAGGAAAGCATATTGTACAAAACTTTACACATTCGTTGAGAACGACAATTAAATTTAAGTGAAATCAGTAAATGAGATATAGATTATCTATATCTGAGCTAAAGGCATCTTCTCATAGTATTTTCTATGTAGGTTGAGAGGTTGTTATCAAGCTCTAGAAGGAGGACAGACAATGGATGCTCTGGTTGATTTGACTGGTGGTTTAGCTGAAAGATATATGTTAGAAGATTATGATCCCAATATGTTCAGATTGATTTTACGAGCTCACAAGACTGGTGCTTTTATTGCTTGTTCTAGAAAGGTTGGTAAGATTATTAAATCATTATCGCAACACAATGTAAGAACTGTGTAGGTTTTTTTGTGCTACAATGGACATTTCTAAGAATTGAGACATTTAATGTTTATAAAACATGGCCCTAAAGACTCTTTCAAAGTAAAGTTTTGGGTTTTGGACAAGTACAAGGTGCTTGAATAATCCTTTATTTCAGGGTGATTGGAGAGAAAGTTTTAAGAATGATGCCACTGGTCTTGTTTCTGGTCATGCTTATACTATAACTAGTGTTATTAAAGTAAGTTTTTACTATATTTTAGTCCATATATTAGCTTTTAAAAGGATAGCAATGTTTGGTGTCTGTTAAACCATTAGCCTCTGCAAGTCAAGAAAACTTGAACCTTCCTGCTATCACCTGACTGAAGCCAAGAATTTGTTTGTCTTGATCTCAGTGCTGCACATAGAGCTTGCAGATTAGTGAGACTGGATTTTATTTACTGTTTCAGATTAAACATCAGATGGGTGAAGAGAAATTATTACGTATTAGAAATCCATGGGGAGATGAAAGAGAGTGGAAAGGTTCTTGGAGTGACAAGTAATTTAAGCTTACTGTCTCTACATCTAGTCAACCACCTAAATAAGCCTAAGGTTTATTTTATTCGACTTTTGCCCATCACATGCTTTTAATTCTGATGGCATCTTTAGGCTTGTTTCCAGTATTTTGAAGAGTGTAAATCGAATAAGTATTCAATGAATTTAAATCATAACATGAGAAAATTATCTCCAGACTCTATTGTTAAAACCAATGTTTATATTTTTAGTGATGTAAATTGGAAATGGGTAGATAAAAAAACTAAAGGTATAATGCAGTTACAATCTAAAGATGATGGTGAATTTTGGATGTCATTTAAAGATTTTTATCGCCATTTTCAAGAAGTAACAATATGTTTAACTGGTCCTGATTTTGATGGTGATGGTGTTTCAGATGTTGTTGGTAATTATTTCTGTTATTCTTTTATTTTTGCTTTAATAAAGATTATTCACAGATTCAAAGACCATGTTGGAATTTGAGCTGTAATGGCAGTCAAGAATTTTAGTCTAAATCCAGCTGGTAGAAGATCATCTTTAAGCTGTCTTGGTGACTAAAGCAACTTCATTAACAATATCCTGACTGGTTAATGTACTGTCATATTATATTTAGGTCATATGGAGATGATAAAAGGTGAATGGATTAAAGATATATCAGCTGGTGGATCTAGAAATAATTTAGATCTGTTTACAACTAATCCACAGTATTTATTATCATTATATCAGCCTGGTGAGTTTCAATACTATTGATTATGGTCATGGCTTAAAACTAGCATTTGTTGAAACAGCATATCTGGAATTCCTATATTGTCCATTGTGTTTGGATTGAGAAGACAGGGGTCTTTAAGAATACTGGAAGCGTATTTTTTTCATTTTTCTATTCTGAAAGGTCTTCAGAAAATTGGTATAGCAAGTCATAAGACTAGTACCATATTTGGTAATATATTATACAAATAAATCAACAGGTCTGCAGCATAACAAATAAAGTGCCAAATTTTTAATGTGCCTGCCTTCTTATCCTCGAGTTAATCTGTCAATAATAAATCAACATTACACACCTCACCTGGACTAAACAATAATTTATTGCTTATTATTGCTAAATATTGATATATCTTGAGTTGATCTAATGCACCAGCAAAGGTTGTTATATTTATGACTGTTTTGATTCCCTTATTATATATCTAATCTATAGGTAAATTTCAGAATTATTTCTATTATTTTAGATGATTTTAATCTACAAACTGATGATCCTGAATTAGAAGGAATGTGTAGTGTAGTTATCGCTTTGATGCAAGAACAAAAACCAACCAGGGAGGAAGGTCAAAATTCTCACCAACAAATTGCCTTTGTTATATATGAGGTAAGGATTCGAGTTTTAGAATAAAATTTATTGAGTTTGTGGAGCCTGAAAGGAATATGATGTTTAAATAATTGTTTTGACAACTGGTGGAGGCAGTAAGTACTCACTGTTATGTAATGATATGTGTAATATCTGCATGAGAGAGAAGTTAAATCTAATAGTGATTTTACTTTAAACTTTCACCATATTTTTTTTTATTAAATTGTACAGATGCAGAATACATTATGTAATTCTAAAAAGTCCAATCAGCATGTAAATTAAATGATTCAGAAGACTAAGAACTCAGTATTTAGTAGATCCTACTTAAAACACCTAACTTCAGTGATGAATTTATCATTTTGAAAAATTAACTTTGACAAAAATCTATTGGCAATATATACAATAAAGTGTGTTTATTTTCTTTCAGACAGAGAATCCTAAGCAACGTTTAAATAAACGACATTTTCACAGTCATCATGATAGTGGTAGATCAGGTTTATATATCAACTATCGTGAAGTTAGTGGAAGATTTGAATTATCACCTGGCCATTATATTATCATACCATCCATGTTCCAACCTCATAAAGATGGTCAATTTCTGATCCGAGTCTTTGGTGAGAAAAACTTTAAATTAACAGGGTGAGTAATATTAACAAGTTCAATCGATTGGTTCTGCATGTTTAAGTTTTATGGAATCAACTGGTGTTCAATAAAACAAAATGGAAAGCAGAATTGAAAAAATACACACATAATTCAAAATGGTAGAGAAAGGAATTGAAGTGAAAATTTTAAATGTGACATAATCTAGTTCTGGACAGTTCGATTGAAGCCAGTATTGGAACAAGCCGAACTTGTTCAGAACTCACCAATCAAGCACCACCTAGATTTAGAATAAGTGAGTGTAAATTAGCCATTAGTACTGTCCAACTACCGGTAAATTAAATCAATGGTATTGAACATTTGATTTAAGGAAGTAGTTTAAAAGCTGATGTGCACTTTGAACATCTTTGAAATGCTTTTACAGATACAGATAGTAGCTTATGATGGATTTTCTTTTTCTTTTCAGACCATTATGATCTCAATGAGAGATGAGTTTTATCTGAACCATTGTGTTTTCAATCTTATATTGCATATTATAACTTCTATTGGAATATGACTGCCTTGGAAAGTCAGTAAACATGGCTACATTGTGATGTTATTGTATAGTGCATAAATGAAGACAGTAATATTTATGAAATTTATTCTAATATCTCTGTTGACTGCCCATGTGTTGCTTTGTAGAATGTCATGAATTCAAATATTTTAATTTTACATTATTTCATTTAATATAATCAGAACATATTTGATGTGATGTGTTTGTAAATGTGATCAATTGTTATATATGCTATTTATTATGTTATTTATTAAAATAAACAGGAAAATACTGGTGATTTTAAACCTGTACAATAGCAGATTAATCTAAAAAAAAAACAATCCTGGTAAGATATGTTTAATAAAACATAAACATAAATAATAGTTATGATAAACATGATAATAAACAATGTTTAACATTAGAATATCACATGCAAAATAACTTTGATTTTATACAAATAATATACATGTACACTCATCACATCTTTTCACCAGTTAAAGTATTATTTACAATTACATCATTGGTTGTCAAATCAATATTTTTTTGTGGTGCTTTAAAGTTCAAAGTATTACAAAATAAAATAGTTTATGATTGAAACTAAATAAAATTTGTATGTTATTTACAAAGAGGATTTATTTAAATGCATGAAATTCTTTGTTCTTTAATAGTTAACAGAAAAAAGAAGAATTCATAGTCTGATTTTTCAACAAGTTACAATTTAGATGATTATATACCAATGCTGATGTTATGCAAACTCTGAAAGCTGTTAGACTTGCAATAAGAAAACATTTCTTCAATTTAAATTGAAAAAATATTTTAATTATTATATAAAATGTCATATTATTAAGTAATGTACTGTAAGGATCTGAACAATTTTATTGCCTTGTTATAACCATGTTAATTCCTCAATTAAAATAGTGTTCTTTTTGACACCACAATAAAAATACATAATTGTTAATACATTCATTCATTCTTCTATATATTTCATTCATTCATTTTGTCTACAGCACTCAGATGCTTTCACAAGCTTTATATATTATGCAGTTATTCAGAATATGTTCATGCAAAACATGCAACTACATCTACAAACATTTTTTACCCTTTATATAATAATTTCATAGTTAAAAGTTTTCATCATCATGTACATTGTATATAATAATATTTTTCTTTGCTAAATGATAAAACTCATTTTCAGCTATCTGAAGGAAACATCCAGTTCCCCTAGAATATATGTATGTCCTCAAAAAGGGGAATCAGCTCAGTCAAATTGAGCTCTATCACCTGATAAAGTAAATATTAAAATGACTTAATGGCTTAGAATAATTTACCAAGTGCATCAAGAAATTCGGTAGCTTAAATTGTAAAATGATGTTCTTTTTGACATCAAATTAAAATAGTTTTGATTGACATGATTAAAATACAGTGCATGAATATTGCTTAATGAAGGTATGTGTCTTATCATAAGTGATAATCCAATACAAAAGAAAATCAGTGAGCAAGTGCCAGCAATTCAGAAATACAATAACAATAAAAAACTTATTTTCCCTGGAAGAAGTCAATAAATATATTTACAATCCTGAGACAAAATGACAAAGAAAAAAGATAAATTTTAAAACAAAGTACACCTGTAGATTTTATATGAGAAAAAAATTGAGGCTATCAATGCACGTTATTTGAATGCAGTTGTAAGGTAAAGTTGAAACATTGAAATGAATCTGTTATTAATTAGAGTTTGCCCTATAATGTTCAAGGCTCATGGTGATTTGATTCACTCTAACTACTAGACATAGCTACTTAAACTTGTGGGTCTTAATTTGACATATACATTAGGATTGTCTTGTGGACTATCTGTATTATACTTATACACATAACCATTGAGTCTTGTGGGTTCCTGACTAACACCAGCTTCATTCAATGGTGGCACAGTTTCATTTGTCATATCAGAAACACAACCGATAATATTTGGTCGAGATAAAACTATACCAGTACTTTCTGCTGTTTGTATATTAGACACTGGATAAGACTGTCTCTTTTTACTACGTGAAGATGAACTTTTACCCTTACGTCTGGGAACACAGTTAGAAGTGGATTCTTTACTCAGATCATTCCAAGTACCTGATTCTGACTCCTTGTGACAAGTTGGAAACATAGTTTTTGGTCGTGATTTTTGTCGAGTAGGGCTTGGACTATGATTGTTTTTATCTAAATAATTTAATTGACGTTTGACACCCGGTTTGATTTGTCGACTAGTTTTTAATTCTGGTGTTGGTTGTAATACTGATAAATCACATCGAGGAGCATGATCAGGTTTTGTTCTTTGGTTATCCAGTTCTTTACGTCCTCGACCTTCCTTGCTGCGACTAGAACCTTTTAAACAATCCAATTTAACACTATTATTACTAGTTGATTGAGAACTAGTACCGGCACTATTATCAATAAAACCATATTGTTTGATAGAACTACTTTGTTTCACACCTTTCCTTTTAGCAGTATCATGTTTTTTGCTTGTACTTTCACTGGATTTTGATGGACCAGCCTCAGGATTCACGGACCGCGTCTTTTTGGGTTTTTGAGCAGGTAAACTTCCAGTTGAAAATCGATTAGCTTTTGGTTTTTCTTTTTCTTTTTTTCGAGAGTTGTCCTTTAATTCTGAATTGAGTTTATTAAAATTTTTGATCAGAGCAGAGGCTCCAATAGGACCACCTACATCACTGACACAAAGCTGATTTTCATCACTCTGATCTAATGCTGGATTTTCTGCAACCTTAGCATCATTGTCTTCAGTAATTTTTGATACTGACTGATCTTGATGACTGGCAAAATTCCGTTTTGGAACTGTTCCTAAAAATGTCTCCACATTGCTTGTTAATTGTCTTAAGAAATTGGGTCTAATTGGAATATCAGGATATTGGGAATCACATCTTAAACTTTGGGTCATGGGTTTCGGAATCCGAAGTTCACCTGTTTCCGAACATATTGAGAAGATAGAGACCTCTGAAGTGACCGACTGAGATCGCTTAATTTGTAGTTCTTCAGGAGTTACAGGTGAATTAGGACTATCTAATTGTTTGGTTGGACTATGAGCAAGATTGTAAAGTCTTAAATTTCTCAGACGGGCTTCACTGGATTGAACTAAAGCTTGTCCATTGTTTTGAACTAGAATATTACTACACAAAGGAGTCACTTTATCACTTAGTGTGAGAGGTTGTAAATTTCCCCGCAAAAGATCTTGCCTTGAAGCTCCATCAGCTGCAGTTCTCAATGAAGCCTGTGGTGGTGAACCTGTTGATGTTGAAGGTGCATTAGAAATATCCTGAGTTGAGACATTCTTCCTCATTTCGACCAATGGAATTCCTTGTTCTGTTTCTGCTACTTCCCTTAAAGGAGATGGATTGCTAAATTGATGTTCATCAGTTGACCTAATTTGTCTTGGCAGTGAGGAAAATCTGTCATATTGACGAATTAATTTTTTAGGATCTGGTTGTTCAGTCATGGAAGCAGACATGACAGAATGAGGTAAACAATTTGCATATAATTCAGAAGGTTGACTAGACCTGATTTGATTTTGTTGAAGTAGAGGACTTTCCTGACAAGTAGATGGTTGTGTATTATTAAAGCTAGTTGAAGCTTGATGCTCATAAGAATAATATCTCTTTAACATTGTTTGATCCTCATCACAAGAGCACTCGTGTGAATCATCGCGAGAAGAACTCAATAGAGGAACACGTCCTGTAGGACTTGTTGGAGTACTATCAAGTTGATTGTCTATATAGCTTGCACAATTTCTATTTTGAGAAGCACTTGATGTATTAGCATATGTATGCATATTTCCACTTGAATCAGGTAAAACACAAACCCCACGAGTCACAGTATCACTAGTATTTGTACTTCTGCGCATATTTTCATTTTCAATACGACATTCCACATTTGGAGTAGCACTTGTTTGAACACATTGAGAACTAGCTTCTGTATTATTATTATTTTCCATGTTAATTGAACACTGCCGAGGCGTTGGAGCACTATTTTCTTCAGTTATAGCACGATTGATCTCATTGTTATTCAAAGGACTAAGAGGATTTTGATCTATCTCTTCATAAGGAGGTGGTGCTTCTCCAGGCATAATACGTGGATGTGGTTTAGGAGGTGAATAAGGAGGCGGAGGATCCTCATATGGAGGACATTCTATACCTAGAAATGTTTCTGGTATATAATGATCAGAATCTGCTTCCTCTAATTGTTGACGCCTCGCTTGAGCCTCAAATCCTGAAAAATTAAAAATAAACTTTGTAATCATTGAAGCTATGAGGAAAGAAGTGACAGTTAATCAATTATTATTTCAGCAAAACAGAAAACACATATAATCACATTTGTTAATAATACAATACAAGGACAAACAAGGACATGGTCCTCAATGGGTTCACCCCATGTTTTAATATGGCATCCGGCTGTAACAAAACTTGTTGAAAATGTTTGCTTCTCAAGCAACCAGGAGATTACATGTTTTAAAATTGAACTCACTTCTCATTGCTAGTAATAGACGTCTCTGTCTTAACCTATGTACCATAAATAGTAATAAAGCTAAGACTAGAAAAGATGTAACAGTGCTAGCTACTAATCTTAATCCTAGATTAGTAATACTTTCATCTTCTAGAGCTGAAAAAAAATAACATCTGGTTAGAATCTTAATAACACTGGGTTATCTGACACTTTCCTTAATAAGAATATTTAACTAGATCGAAGTGAAAATAAAATGTCTGCATCTTATCTTAGTTCTTCCATTGGAAAAATACAAGGAAATTTTTTTTAACTTTACTCCAAAATTGAGAAATGATAAGTAACAAAAATCTTGAAATTTTAATCCACAGATTATATAAATTGCCTTACCTCTTCCACCATCCAATTCAGGATTAGTGACATTAAAAATATTACCAGGTCCTCCACCTTGTACATTGTTTCCAGATCCAGATTTTATACATTTATATTCACAGCAGACACCTTCAATCTGTTCCCATAATTCACAGTTTCCTGGTGGAGAACAGGCTACAGATTTACACATAATCCGGAACCCTTTATCACAAATACATGTCATACATGGGTCTTCTTTATTGGGTACATATTTTTCTCCATTATTCACAGGGTTACCTTGAAAATCGTAACACTGTGCACTATCCATACCTGAAAGTATACAAGAAATCATTATGATGATAGGGTATACATGCATATATTTACAACCAAAGAGAAGTCTCACTAAAATAAATCACAATAAATCGCCAGATCACATTTTAAATCAAATAATAAAACACAGTATCATCAGTATCAATAAAACTTTATAATGGATATCAGTATCCATTAAAATATCAAAGTACATGATAAATCTCAATCTAGGTAAACCAAAATAAGGTAGGGAAAAAATTACACTTAATCCAACAAGAAAAATAACATAATAATGAAATAAAAAAAACTTCACCCTGAATCCAACTTTTAAAGTACATGGCTGTATTATATCACATTAAAGAAGTCTTAAACTCTTGAATTCAAGTTAGAAGAAGATAATAAATGTATTAAGTGCGAAGTTAAAAGTAGAAGTTTATGTTTTGTAGTGTATCACAGTTTGATAACATACTGTTACCTCATTATCTGCCATGTAGTGATGAGAAACAGCTAGCAACCATATAAATAACTCAAACCAAAACTGCTCATCATAGCATTCAAATTTGGTGAAGTTTAGACTTCAATTTTTAAACAGATGGTAAGAAATAGATAATTTTGGTAAGTACAGGTTTAACCTATTATTAAGGATATAAATTGTATTAACTTATACCAGTTTTATAAACCCCCCACTACTCCTTTTGTCCTTCTCATCAATTCTTATGATCAGAACAATATTTTATCAAGGACATTTAAATAGTTCTTTAAATCAATAATAAAATATTGTTACTATTAAAATAGTGCTCAATACATTAATTGCATAGCGATATAGAAATATTAAAACAGTCAAACCTAAAAAACAGCCACAATCCCTATGATAGGACCAAAGTTTGAATGCGAGGGACAGGTCTCCTATCCATCACATTAAAATTATTCAATTCTTGACTTATCCCATTTTATTACTGTATATAAAGAGAAGCTGAGATAGTCTAGATACAAGTGGCAGCTGTTTAAAGATAAGTGTATTATTTACTACAGACATGACAGACAACAGAAATGAAATATCAAATGGTCACTATACTTGAACTATTCGGTTGAAAGAAAAATCAATGAATATTGTATGTATGTTATTGTGGCCTAAAGGGAAATCTTGTTAAATAATGAATTGTATCATTTAACAATGTTCTTCTCTCAATAATAAGTGTTAATGATTGGTTCAAGAGACAACATCCAACATTAATGGAACCAGGCCAGTAGGCTTCAGTGTATCACAATTAAAAGCTGTACTTTGACCCATCTGTTCTCAATGTTCAAACAGAAAATATGAGCTCTACTTCAGCACTTACTGAACAGAGTTTTACATTTCATACAATAACAATTTTCTAACAAATGTTCACATCCTTATATTCTCCTCAAGCAAATGAAGAATTAAGTAGGATTTTCCAATCAAACTTTTCTTTTCAACTGATAAAGGGTCATTGCAGTGCACAGTCTGTAGCACACATAACAACCTTTAATCATACTTTAAAAAATAAATCTCTTTAAATTGAGGTTTTATCTTTGTTATCAGCTGTTTGTTGACATAAAAGACATCTATTTGTTTATAAAGCTATCTGTAGGTTGTGGATCAATAACTGTAATATAGAACCACACCTATTTATTCTTCTTCATTTGACCTGTAATTAAACCATTACCTAACTATAATAACTGGTATATCTTCAATAGACTACATTCTGTTTATATTCTCACAATTTCACTGTAACTTAGAAAGACTGCAATTACATTAGCAATTGATAACAATTTCTACTTTTTCTCAAACTAATATTGGTACAAAATATAAAAATTGCCAGCCAAATGAACAACAGTTAAAACTATCAAGGAACAGACCTGCTGAGCCACAGTTTTCTAGGTAAGGACATTAGGGACAGGATGTTAATCCTGATAAGATAATTCTATACACCTATGTATTTAATCCTTAAGCCAGTGTGTAGATATACTGACCTCACCTGGCGTAAGACAGAGAAACAATTGGTTGAAGGAACTGTTGCAAGTTTTAATAGGTAAAGCAGGTGTTGTTTTTTTCCTGATTCCTAGATTCTCTAGGATCAATATCATGTCTATGCTTAAAATTCAGATTGTCTATTGAAATATAGCCATTTTTCACTAATTATTCAATGTGATAATATTGTTCATACATAATAATAGTAAAATATTCAACAGACTTGTAGTCAACTGTGAAATCAATGCAATTTCATAAAATTCCAATAAAGCTTGTGAATAAATCACTCTGAATGAATTCTGCTTTCTATTCAAGTTGGTTCAGTACAAATCAATTTTTAATCAACACAAACCTACTGACCTACAGTTTAATTTTCCTACTAAGCTACTGTTCAGTAAGCTCACTTTCTTTCTTCTGGATTCAGTCTCTAATAGTTAAAATATAACAGAAAGAGAAAATTGGAATCATTTTCCAATGATAGTTCAGGATTTAAAATGACATAGTGTTTTACAATGGCATTTTACTCATGGTCCTGGATATCTATAATTCTGAATATAGACTCTTCACTCCTGTCCAGTAAAGGAAGAGTACTTGATACTGTTCCAAAAGTAAGTTCCATGTCACATTCAAATTCCAAATCACTCAATTGCTCACAAGATGTATCATCAGCCTTCATAAACTAAAACATTTGTATAATGTGCACATAGTAAATAGGATATATTTGTTTGAAATACTTTGGTAGCTTAAGGATATTAATGTGAAAGTGTCAAACAGAAAGTTAAATCCTTGAGAAAGATTTGATATGAACAATAAGATGATAGTTTACTAGGATCAGACACCATTAACTTACTGTCACTTGACAGCTACAACACAATTAACCACTTGAAATATATCAAGATTATCAAAAGGATCACTGTCAAATATAGAATTAATTTTAAATATCAAATTGTAATCTTTTGTTTTATTTTCATGGCTAAATGTGTAGTATAGTCTACTTTATTGTATATATTTCAATACCACACTTTATTCAGGATGTGTTGTTTGAACATCCATGAAGATGCATAATAATCTTTCAGCAACCATATTATGTTATAAATAAAAGTTATACCAAAAATTTAAGATTCAATCAATAATAGAAACCCAAAGAAATTATGAAGAAGATTTTGAAAACTTTTATATGTAGAAGTGACAATGATAGCACGGGTTTTTGCTATTCATATTTACAAAGTCAGACGCCTGAATGTCTTGAAATTCCAAACTAAGTGTTTTATGTCATGGCTATTGCAAAGGCCATTAGATATTATAAGCAGGTTTGGACATGTATTATTGACTCTATATTCTATCTTTTGAATTTTACTGTGGCAATTACAACTTTGGCTGTAAAAGAAAGCTATTTTGACTATTATCCACAGGTTATCACACAGCGTACTTGTGATGTGTCACTTGGGTCCCCTTCCAAAATTTTAATCAATGCCTTCAATCCACTTTGTCAGCTTCTATTTTCCAGTATTTTCTAATGACATTAGACTTTAAATTTGAATTTGTGGTTGGCACTTTTATATCAATTTAAAAGTATATGAATTGAATACCAGGGTCCATAATCTCCTAAAAAAACCTGGATCAAGTTTTGTCTTAAGTGTGGTATTTCTCGGAGTAAAGTTACAACAATTTTTCATAGGAAGATTTTTTGAGAAACAGGGCCAGTATTGTAAATAACTTTTTACTTCCTTTGATACCATCATTAAACTTAATAGCCTTATCTTTATTCTCTGATCTTTACTGAATCTTAGCTTGACTTAATATATTCAATTAGAGTGACTTATCTATTTAATAATATAAGATAATCTAGGCCTAATCTTTCGTTACCTTTTGATCTGAAAGACACGTTTTTGCTTTACTCTAATTACTGACAGGTCAATAATAATATATAATCAGTCATTGACATAAGGTTATGATGTATGTAACACAAATAAAAAGGCAAACGGTCACCAGTAATATCAGCCAAAACCATCATTGGCAACTAGAAAATAACAATTATCAAGAATCCTGAATTTTGAAAAAAGGAAGAGTAAAGCAACCAATAGAAAATGTAAAAGAAGAACATTCAAATCTGCATTTAAATCAAAAATGGTAGGCCCCCTACTGGTAATATTTTGGACAATGTAACCAGATAACTAGAAGTGTCAAAGTCAGAGAACATCCATGATAGACCTTAGGGGAAACAGGGTTCTCTGTCTCTCTATACAAACTTCTGATCATTTAAAACACATATATGAAAAATTTCCAGGGTAAAAAAGGTAACTTAGGTGCCAGGAAATTGTTGCAAGAAACATAACAGATATGAAATCTATTGTATCTTAAACAAGTATGGTCACAACCTAGTAATTGACAATCAAAGGCAATAATAAAAAATTGTTAATATGAAATGGTTTTTCTCAGTAAAATTTGAATTTTCCTGTACAGTTGTAATTACATTTCCAGGCATGAAAGTATCTAAAAAATTACAACTGAACGATAACATCACAAATAGTTTCCTCTTATTCATTCCAGTTGAAAACACATCAAAGTGAGAAATATGATATTGACTGTAGAATAGTTCAAATGGAATCAACATTACACCAATCAAAACGATGAAAGAACTGCATGAAATACTATTATGAGTATTTTACTAGACCGCCAGGAATAGCAGCATGGCATAAAATAAACATAAAAAACATTCATAAATTCCTTGTTCTCAACAATACAATATGAATGATATTACTCAGAAAATATGATTCAGACTTGGATAGGAATTGAACAAGGAAATAAAGATATCAGGAGAGAACTGTATGGTCACCTTACCAATCTAAACTGTTTCAATAGTAAGGATGACATTATCATTTGATCATCAAATAAATTGACACCAAGACTCAAATCATCTTCAAAGGTCATATAAAGAGATACTTAACCAAGCAAAGGATAATTTTCAACCATTGGAATTATGCATGATTGTAATGAATGCAAAGCATTGTATGATTCTTATAATCAAATTTACATGTATGATTTTAAACAATCGAAATTATGATGTATGTATGATTTTTACTGATCACATTTACACATAAGTTTTTGATGATGACATTAACATATATGAATTTTGATGATCACATTTACATGTAAGATTTCTAACAATCACATGCACATGTATGATTTATGGGTTATCACAAGTACCCGGTATGATTTTTAATGCTTACATTTACATGTATGATTTTTAATGCTTACATTTACATGTATGATTTTTAATGCTTACATTTACATGTATGATTTTTAATGCTTACATTTACATGTATGCTTTTTAATGCTTACATTTACATGTATGATTTTTAATGCTTACATTTACATGTATGCTTTTTAATGCTTACATTTACATGTATGATTTTTGATGATCACATTTAAGTGTATGATTTTCATTGATATAGGCAGGTCTTACCAAACTTTAATCTCTTCATTTCAAATGAATGCTGTGACTGACTGTAGACTTGACAATGGTTTAATCTAAGGGGCATCAGGGATTAACTCATTGATATGCAACAACTTAATTAATAAGAATCCTTGAGGAAGTAAAACATTGCAAAACTTATCCTAAAATGAAATCTTTGTCCAGAATATGACGTCAAAACCTCATTTAATTAATGTCTTATAGAAATTGGTTGTAACTTAATCCATCCTGATTACAGGAAAAAATCAAGTTATGAAACATTCTGCCTGAAGGTAATTACTACATGATTTCTTATTTGTATTGCTGGCCTACAGTACAATTAACTATATGTCAGTAGAAAGCCAAGTATTTGACGTCAAATTCTAATGCCAACAACATACTATGTTGTAGGAGTAATGCTTTATGATGTCAAGCGTAGGAGCAATGACATCTGAATATTCCCTATTTTCCCAATCAAGAATCTAACAACCTAATTCCATGTTCTACTTTATTGTTTAGTGCCACCCACGTGCTTTGTACTCAACACAGACTTAATTAAACATGCAATGAGTTCACGCCTTAAACATTACAAAAATTATCAATTGATTCTCAAAACAAACAGACAATTTTGTGTAATGTAAACAGGCAATCCTCAAGGAACAACTACACAAAAATACTTTTTGAACAGGGTAACAATGTGAAATAGTGTCAATACCATTTGATACAGTGATGTAGACATTTAAGAAATATACCATTTATTTGGCTCAAACTTAGAGAATCAATGATATTAGTTTATAATAAATATCAAGTGTTGACAAAGACATAAGATACTAACTAATATCCCATATAAAGACAATAGACTGTCATTAAGACGGTCAATAAGTGGTCATTGATGGAAGACTAGGTTCAGATAAGTCAGTATCAGACTACTAATACTAGTAGACACTGGACAACTAAAATGAGGTTTATGACTCCTACTTTTTGAAAGATTTGGCTAATGAAAACGATGAAAGCAATGAGGACAATTTTACCAAGCAAGAATGTTGAAAATCATTTACTCTTTTTCAAATAATTTGACATTTATTTGACAGGCATCACCTATTTTCAAGTTTAACAGATGGAAGTCCATTATCAACGTTCTGAAAACCAATTTATGGACTCAATTAGTCTTATAACATATATGTCATATTTTAGCTGAACGTTAATATTTTGAAAAGTTTATATAGTTAGTTTTTAAGTTCACTTTTACATGGTTTATGTAAATAGGGAAAACAATGTTACATAGTACAATATTTGTCCATATTTGGGTTTTTCTTTCAGTAATGAAGAATAAGAGAAAACAATATCAAAAATCAAAAGATACACTTAGCAAATTGATAGATGAGACTCCTTGTGTGTGATAGAGAAACAGCACATAAATCAATAACAATTTACCTTGAGCTGACAATAAACTTGATCCAAACACACAAGTTCCAAGATACAGACACGCCATTCCATTGTTTTCTTTATTCTTCAAACACACAAAATAACTGGCTCGTAACAAACCAAAAGGTAAACATTTTTCAAATTCTCAATAGACAGGTTGAGCACACCAGTTGATCCTGAATATAAACACTGGATAATCCTTTAACTTTTGATACAGACGTCAACTTACATCGACTCTCTGTACAGAAATGTTTTCACCTAATTAATGTTTTAAGAAAGATGACGTAGAATATGAGACATCCTATTACATCAAGCCAATTAAAATATATGTCTAAATCAAAACACAACCCTAAAGAAAGAATTTCAACACTACACTTTGACTTGCAACATCAGGATGTCACAAATAACAAGCACAACTGTGGCATTCATTAAATGAAATTTATCAGATACTGGTTGGCAGAAATGACCAAAGGCAACATCTCTTAATTTGTCATTGAAAGTCCACGAGGTATAACTATTCATAGACTGAAGGGAATTAATAGCTCGTGTGACACTGTATTCCTCACTGTGAAAAAAAGTCAATAACCAAAACAAACCTAATGAAGGCTCATTATTTTAGCTGATGTTAAGTAATTGGCTATGTGATAATCAGGTCCAGTAATTAATAGAATTCTTTATTCTTTAACTCAGCAACATCATCCTATTACTAGAAATGCCCAGAAGTTCTTGATGAAAAATAAATTTCTTAAAGCATTAGTACTTAAAGATATTATGATGTTTGTAACCTATAAAAGTCTACTTTAAAGTTCGTGTACCTCAACTCAGAATAAAAAATAATCAGATAAATAATCTTTTATTTCATACGTTCCAAGAGTTAAATTAGCAACAAACCTAAAATAATCTGAACATTCACAAAATTGAATAAAAAATCACCTCTATTGACAAGTCTCCTAAAATGACCTCCAAAATAACTTTCACTTGGTTTTAGGACAACTATGAATATAGTGAAATATACACAGATTATAAATATCAATGAAACAATAAATGTCAAGGGCTAATAGAATTAATTCAAATTCCATGTTCCAAAAAAAAGGGGTAAATTACTTAATATTCATGATACATCTAAAGAATTTGACAAATTGCCAAACATTTATCACATAATAAATAATGTTAAACAATAACATTTATAATTGATATTTATGAGGACCTTTAAATTATGGCTCCATAAACAAGTTTCAATTACTATGTTGTTGTAAATAAAGACTAAGAAAACAATATAGCATTCCAGTAGATCTAAAACAGAGATATCACAATTGTAGGATAAGTAATTTACCAAAGATATATTTTAATTTTTGTCAAAGAATTTACAGATAAAGAACAAAATTCAAGAACCATAGAGGTGAATGATACAGGCAAACCATTTTGGCAGATCTGTTACTGTTTTAACCAAATTTGTGTTACCGTTTTGGCAGGTCTGTTACCGTTTTGACTATTAAAATTTGTTACCGTTTTGACGTGTTACCATTTAAACTGGATACCAGACATAGTAATAGAGACAGAAAAAAAGAAGAAAATAAACACACAAAAATAAAAAAAAAGCACACAAAAAATGAAAGATGAATTTGATAAGATTTTGTCCTGGTCCTAGGTTATAAATGACTTTATGAGATTCATATATTCTTTGTTCCACTAAAAGGAGAAATATCATTCCATTAACTATATCATCAGATTTCATAAATTAAAATTGTAAGATTATGATTGAAGTTGTTGTTTGTGTTTATGTCAGCCAGCAACTGCTTCAGATAAAGATATCTGTTTTCCAAAGATGATATTTCTTACAGCAGGGATAAGTTTACATGAAGAACTTTTTGATTGAACACTCTACCATTGAATTGGGATCATTTCAATATGAGTATCAATAATAACCATAATCCTATATAGACCTATATATTATTTCTGTTACATTTTCAATCATCACTGTATAACATGCAAATGAGATTTTTTTTTTACTCCACTGAAGAAATGACAGATGAAATGCTAGAATATTGTTGATTACATTCCTCAAGAGACTAACACATATATGAAAGTCTTCTTAGCAATAACCTAAACTGCTAATACCATACCAAGGGAAAATGGCTTCTTCTTTAACTCTCCATGTAGCCAAGAATCTATAGCTAGGAAAGATCAAAATAAGCTTATAAAATTTTTCTTATTTTGATACAAGAAATGTGACAGTTGTCACAAAAAAAATGATCAATGATTCAGTTTCCCTGACTTGCCGCTGTAAAAAGTAGCTTTGAGATAGATAAAAGGCAGTTTGTTTCAGGCCAAAATCCAGCATGGTTATCTTCATTTCCTACTTAGTCAATAGTGATAAAAATAAACGCTAATCATATGTATTTTTTACTAGTAAGAGTAGATATTCCATTGAAACATGTAATTTATACATGAGTTGAGGCAATAAAGGCTGTAAAATATTCCAGTGAGTCAGTCTATACAGATAGCAGATTATACATGTAGTCTTGTTATCAAACTAGCTTTATCAATAAACTATCAATTATATTAATAATATTATAACAGAATAATCCTAGACACTAGTAATGTAGTCATGTTATCTTTCCATGAACACTTAAGCCAAACATTGTGATGTATTATTTGCTTCACAATAATTTCTTGAGACCTTTTCGAATTGCATAATGCATAGCTTTTGTTATAGGTATCAGAACATATAGCACTGTCAGAAGACACAAGTGTTGAGAGCTCAAAAGAAATATACTTAACACTCTGAATCTTTCCTCAGAACATTAAAAAAGCTATCCAGATCATTTAAAGCATCCTTGAAAAAGGCCAGGGAGATTTTGCAGATCCAAAGTAAAAACCACTGAATAAACAAATGAATGCAAAGTTTCAAAGCTTACCATTAATAACCAAACACTACTATACCAGTAAAACAATATTTATCCTCTCAACACTGACCGACCAAAAACACATAAAAGTAATAACAACTTTTTCATTAGTTCTCAAAATAACAGGCAAATTCAGTATAAAATTTCCATTTCCAACTACATGTCCTCAAAATTTGAATTCAAAAAGCTTTTCTTATAACAAAACTCCATTTATGAATGAAACAGTAGCTAAATGGGAACCATGACATTCAAAATAGATAATCTTTCATAATGAAGAAAAGAAACCAATTTTTATCATGTATAGTTTTTATTTCACAATTCACAAATCTTTGCAATAAAATTTTCAATTGGTTCATAGGTTTACTTCAGTTAAGTACTTGACCATGGTAATCTCACAACAATAAACAAACAAATCAGCTTCTTATTGTGTTAATTATATAAAATTCTAATCAATTTAAAGATTTACTTTGACAGCCATTTATCATGAAAAAATTTCACACATCCCTAAACACTTTACTCTTATCTTAATCCTCACCTGGACAAGAAGACTAATATTATTTCAAGGCTCACACCTTGAGAACAATTTAAAGTTATGGCAGATATGCTAAAAGTGCAATTAGCACCTAGTTATCACCCTCATCTATAAGTTAGGAAACAATACTGCTAATAAGTTTTTGATTAATGAGATCAAATAATATATGGATCACAAATATCCAATGTTGCGCAGATTACAATTATGGATACAAATATGAATTCTCAGTAAGATTGTGACGTGACATCAAAAATGTTCCAAAAAAAAAAAAAATACAACTAAAATGATATTGTAGCACAGTTAAATTTTCAATGTCATTTAATTATGAATAATATCAAACATCCAAAGTAGACAACAGCATGAGCTGAACGTGAAGCCAGGAGAGGGGATTTGAAGAATTGAAGGGGCCTATGTATAACTGTTCATGATGAAGACAGGCCTTTTTATAATATGACTTTTTATCTCAGATTAGTGAATGTAATATTTGGTATGGTAGGCCTACATTATGATCTAGAATCACATGATTATTTTTTTACCATCAATATCAATAGGCCTACAATTCGATATACTAAAAAATCAATGTTGTAGGCCTACAACAATATTTTTAGCAGAGACCTAGGCCTACACCTCACCCTATGAGACCAGATAAAGTAATAATGGAGCAATAATAATCATTTCAACATTAACAATAATTCATATTTTGAAGCTCAAATTTCATGCCTGTCTTACTGGTCAATTAGATTTAAAAATAAATATAAATTTAATGATATGCAAATGCCTGAAAAAGGGAACAGCTCAAATACAGCACAATTTCAATGAACACATCTCTTCAAAAACTCTTAATATAACACCTTAGAATATGAAATTGTTTGCAATCATTCTCATACCATTGACCTGATGCCTTTTGATGACTGTAACCTGGTTGTAGTAAGCCTATCTTGTTGAACATGAAGAGGAAATACCATTCAACAAGTCATTATATTGTTTTGTATATTTATATCAAATTATCCAATTCAACATTATAAACAATTCCAAAATAATAGTTTACACAAAATGACAATCATTTTTAAACTTACCATGGCTTGTTCTCAGAAACATAAGAGCTGGTAAAATAAAACTGACACACAACATAGCGGTGTCAAAACAGTTTGACATGGTGTCTCTAATTTCAGTAATATCCAACAAAAAGCAGCTGAATATTATCACACGAAGTCTCCTTTATATTCTACATTGTCTGAATATATTGAAACCTTCAAAACACAAGAAATAAAATACGATTTACATGATAAATTATCTGATAATTTCACGTCTTCAATAAATTACTCTACTCTCGTAGAATCGCGCAAGTGCACGAGATTACACGAAATCCAAGATGTCAGCCCCCATATATCTAATAATTATTTGTAAACACTGATATTAAATGCCAAAGATAGGGTACAAAATGAGTTTTAGCAAGCCAGAAAATGAGACTTGTTTTGAAAAGCTCTTGCGAGAATACAATGATCTTCTACAACGCAAGCCAGTTCTTACCAAAGCAGTTTCTAGGTAAAGACTGATGTACCGCCGTAGGCCTTCAACTACAACAAGTCTTGAATTTTCAAAATATACAGTGGTGTAACCTATTTTCGTGGATATAAGGATTCAACACCGAATTTCGTCAAAGTTAAAAAAAACGAAAAAAAATTTTTATGTCTTAGATGTTTCCTCAGATATTCTACAAAATAATAGAAATTGGTTTATTTCGATTTTCTTAATGAATCCTTCACTTTGACCCATATTTCATGAGCAACCAACTCGGGAACGGCGGCAGAATGCGTCACCTATTTTCGTGTACAATGTTTGATCTATAAATAAGTCTAGATAAACACGTTGTATGGATACCGGGTGGTATAATTAACTTCTCTTAGTATTTATCTTTAATATCAATTCATTATAACTAGTGACAATTCATTCAAAGAACCACGATTTTAAAAAAATAATAGTGACTGACAAAATAAGATACGTAGCGTGATTTATTGCTAAAAGTCACTGAAACAACATAAGAATATGGTCCACTTTGTGTTCCATAGAAATTTTCTGCTGACACGGAATCCGCTAGTTGATCACGTGATTTCATTCGTTGGATTATATTCTAGCAGACGACATTTGGAATTTCGATTACCGCTCGGGATTATAATGAAATTTGTCCGATAAAAAATGGTGACGTTTGGTAATAAGTGAAATCCGCCATTTTGTATTTGTCAAAGTATACATTAATACATTTTACCTTGCTTGAAACTACTGGATTCATTCTACTAGCTGATATTGTACAGAAAACCCATGTTTATTAAAACAAACTAATGCGGAGGTCGCGCAAGGTCGCTCACGTAAATTATTAATCATTTCCGAAAATCCACGAATAATAGGTTTCCACGAAATTAGGTTACTCGACTTGTATACACGTAATAATGCTTCCATTGCTTTTGGGAGGAGTGGACTCAATGATTCTCAAAATTATGAAAAATTAAAGTGAACGTTTTTTGATCTTTTTAAATACCCCAACTCAAATATTATATTAGGGCTACCGTAGCAAAGCTACCAGTATCCTGTCTGACGAAATTGAGTTAAATTTGTTGACTTTTTGCAAACTTAATGTATCATAGTATTTCTTTAAACTTCATGACAACCCTATATAACAACAGTGTTACAATGTAGCTTATTAACAATGTTATACATCCAACTGATTACAGTTTTGTACAAATATCAAAGACAAAATGCACTCAACTGGGAAAATATGAAAGACATGTTCCAATAACAGGTCAATGAAATGCCCATTTTTCAAAAATGAAGTATGGTCTTGTACTGTATTATCAGTGTAAACAATCATCAGAGTATTTTGTGATTGGTCAGTTTGTGACTCGTGAGGCAACTTCATCGGTCAAAGGGCACCACGTTTTGTTTGAAAGCACGATAAACATCCACCTACCGAAAATTTTTGAGAAAATGCACCGATAAGTTTCGATTTTCAAAGATATACACCGGTAATGCATTACAGAACTTTTGGAAATAGAAAATGGCTACCCTCTAAAACATGATTGTCATTAAAAACAACTGATGATTGAAATAAATTTATTGCATGAATACAATAACTTAGATTTAATCATACTTCAATTTGACAGGAAAGTGCCATTTTTGTTTATTTCCAGTATACACCTATAATATATTACACCATCATACCTGTTCGACATGAAATTTGAGGCCATTTCCTAGTTGTTTGTTGGGGAACCCACATACAGAAATCTTTGCCATTAAAAATTTAATTAAAAATTATATAATCAATTATGACATCTTCACCACTGTCACTTTGGCAAATTTCTAGTCAAGTTCTTTAAGTCCTGGCCCGGAGCTGCCCATCCCATTCCCTCCCCCCCCCCCCCCTACGGCCTTAGCCACAACAATTCTGTGGTCCCCACCTGTGGATGATTCACAGAAACATGTCTAAAATTTGCATAAGCTAGTAATGGCAGTATTGATTAACCAAATAGGCTGACGAAATTAATGCATAGGAACATTTTGTAAGAATTTTTATCAAGACTTTTTAGATTAGCTCTGAAACTTGACCAATTACAATCTTAATTGATCATTGAATGTAAAACATTTTTATCCATATTTGCCTTGAATGTTTTTTTACAGCTCAATAATATCTGCAGTGGGTAATATATTGTCTCAGTTGCTAGCACCCCATGCTGGTAGTGGTGGTAAGATTGTGTGGAGAAGTACTTTCGCCTACTCATGTTTTGCGTAAGTAGCATGAATCTTCAGAAGGATTTGATTTAAACCCACAAATCTTCTAAAACAGTGTCCAAGATTTATTAATCATTTGTTTTCTTTTTAAAAAAGTTGAATTTGTTATATTATGTCTATTTAACTAGAAATTCATCTAATGTCATCACTCATCATGCTATTGTTAATAACTGCAAGGCCTGGAAGAGATAACAGTTTAAATTTTCAAGACAAAATATAATTGTTTAGAAAATATGAAACTTCACATTGATCACTGTTTATTTTCAGATTAATGTTTAATGGACCATTGTTACATTTTTTTCACCAGTATTTAGATAATGTAGTTCCTAAGAAGAAAGACAAGACCTCAGCAATGAAACGTGTTATTTTTGATAGATTTATATTTGCACCTCCGTATCTGTTTATATATTTATATGTAATTGCACTACTAGAGGTAAGTTAATCTAGATATTTCCTTTACTTGCTGATATAGCTCTATTTCCCTAGCACTTGTTGAGATTTAAATTCATTGATCTGGTTCTTTAGAAACCCAACAAAACATACAGTGGACGCTCTTAAAATTCTCATCTCCAGATAATAGGGATTTGATGTCTTTGGTTATAACTTCCGAGAAGGATGTTGATAATTGCCTTGATGTGATGGCAGTCAAAACTTTCAATGTCATGTTTTCTGGAATGCAAAATTCCATCCCTGTACCATTTCAAGAATTGATTCTTCAGAATAAAATAAACCAGTTATGTTTGAACTTCTTACAACGTGTCAAATACTTTTTTATTATTTATACTGATATATATGTTTTTTTGTGTTACTGTAACTCAGGGACATGGCACAAGTGGAGCTAAGCAAAGAATAAAAGAAGTATATTGGATGTTATTACAATTAAATTGGAAAATATGGACTTTTGTACAATATTTTAATTTAACTTACGTGCCAGCAAAGGTAAAGTAATAATTTCTATATTTCTACTGAAAGGTAAAAAAACTCAAATTGTCCCCAATGATAGGTTTACGCTAGCATTTTGCAACATACCACTGTATTTACGGGTGGCCATATAGTATAGTGTATTACAGCCTATGATTTTTTTGATTATCACATTTGTGAATCCTGTTTGTGAAAACTGTTTAATATAAGGCTTCTTTTTTCCATGGTTTGGGTAATGAAAAAATTCAGAAACTTAGTGAGACCAAAGTTTTGAGTTGAATATTTATTCTACTTAGAAAAACGCTACTCTTACTGTAAGCCATTAATTGCATGTCCTGATTAATTGCAGGGCGTTCGGATGTTTTCGTATTGATTTTTTTTTTTTTTTTTTTTTCGTCCACGACAGGCGGGTTTTCTCGGAAACGGCAACAGTTACGGCTCGTGGCTAATCCCAGCTTAAATGTAAAACGAAAATTTTCTGAGCAACATTACGCAAAATTGCAACAAACGGAAAAAGGACTCTAGACGCCATGTTTATCAACCGATTTTGATCGGGTTTTCTGCATCGTATTTCTTGTAACAAAGGACAAATGATAGCAGTTGAAAATTTTTGATTTTCGAAAATTCGTTGCCGTAATTAAGCAGAAAATACTATTTCGGTTGTAGTTTGGTGGATTGACTCGAAACTCACATGGTGTAGACTGCCGGCATAGTGGAATAAAAGCACACATTCAAAAAATTTTTATCACTTCCGGTTTCGATGTTAGTATCATCATCGGTGGTGAAATTGAGTTATGTCCAAAATAAAATATGCATTATATTACCAGCCTTAATACAAACTTGTTTAACTAAAAAAATCGCACCGGAAGTAACATGTAGGGCCGCCAATTTTGGTTTGCCTCATTTTCCAGAAATTGCTATTCAGAGGCCATTTATCATCCGATTTGCATAACTTTTGTGTCATACGATACGTTTAATGTCTGTCTAGAAAAAATGGGAAGCATAATTTTGATTTTCGGTTTTGCCTTTTTTGTACGACCTGATGTTTTTTTTCAAAGTTTGAAGGCTTATAACTCATGACCTTGAACTTTGATGACCTTTATATTGACTATGGTGATAAAGGCTGTCCTTGACCTTCTCATGACCTTTTGACCTTTGGTGTCAAACAACAACTTCTGGTTTTATAGGGGTCTAAATATGGTCAAAATGGCATTTTTGCAGTGCTGTATCCCCAATAGAAATCAAAGTTTAAATTGTTTTAAAGACACCCTCCCTTTTATATTCCTTTAAAATGTTTTGAGTCCAGTTGCAGTTTATAAATAAGCTCTAGGGTGGATTGAACCGTTTTATACTGTAAGTTAAGCTTACGGAAGCACATTAAAGGCATACCTCCACTTAATTTACCAACTTTCTAATTTCTTATCCGATTTTCATCATACTTGGAATGTATGTGTATAATCAAATTCTACATTTTATGGAATAATCGAATTTGCTTAGTGCGCATGCGCATTACTAACTTTCTTATTTCTTATCCGATTTTCATCAAACTTGGCATGTATGTGTATAATCGAATTTGCTTAGTGCGCATGCGCATTACCAACTTTCTTATTTCTTATCCGATTTTCACCAAACTTGGTATGTATGTGTATAAACCAGTTCTAAATTTGATGGAAATATTGAATTTTTGTTGTGCGCATACGCATTAACAACTGTCTTATTTCTTATCCGAATTTCACCAAACTTAGTATGTATGTGTATAATCGAATTTGCTTAGTGCGCATGCGCATTACCAACTTTCTTATTTCTTATCCGATTTTCACCAAACTTGGTATGTATGTGTATAATCGAATTTGCTTAGTGCGCATGCGCATTACCAACTTTCTTATTTATTATCCGATTTTCACCAAACTCGGTATGTTTGTGTATAATCTAATTCTAAATTTGATGGAATTATCGAATGTGCGTAGTGCGCATGCGCATTACCAACTTTCTTATTTCTTATCCGATTTTCACCAAACTTGGTATGTATGTGTATAAACCAGTTCTAAATTTGATGGAAATATTGAATTTTTGTTGTGCGCATGCGCATTAACAACTGTCTTATTTCTTATCCGAATTTCACCAAACTTAGTATGTATGTGTATAATCGAATTCTGAAATTGATGGAAATATTGAATTTTTGTTGTGCGCATGCGCATTACCAACTTTCTTATTTCTTATCCGAATTTCACCAAACTTGGTATGTATGTGTATAATCCAATTCTAAATTTGATGGAAATATTGAATTTTTGTTGTGCGCATACGCATTATCAACTTTCTTATTTCTTATCCGAATTTAATCAAACTTGCTAGGCATGTGTATAATCCATTTCTAAATTTGATGGAAATCATAAATTTTTGTTGTGCGCATGCGCATTACCAAATTTTGTATTTCTTATCCGGATTTCATCAAACTTGGTCTTTATTAATTGACAAATATTCTTTTATTCCTAGTCAATATACTATAAACTCCAGGCACTTTTGGATATTTGCATTTAGAGATGCAGAAAAGTATTTACATCAATGTAATTGCAATAGACCATCTTCGTATGTACCTGAATGTCGTAACCCGCCCTGCATCAGTACTGTTATTAGAACAGTTCTAGTTTGGTTTGAATTTGTGTTTTTTTATTTACATAAATGAATTTTACATTTAGCTTTTCACTTTTTTATTTCAGTATCGAGTGTTGTTTGGAAATCTAGTGTCTTTGATATGGACAACTTATATTTCTACAAAAAGAAATAATGCTCAATAAATAACTAGTTTTTAGGGTCAAGATAGGAAAAGGTTGCTGAATTCTGTGCAATATTCAGTTATTTCCCTTCTTACTAGACATTCCAATAGCAATGTATAATATTGTAATGCCTGGCCGATTTTTATCAAATTGTACATGGGTATAATCTAATAATTTGACATTGACTGTTAAGTGATGGGCATTTAAACGATTTCATTTTGGAAGGTTGAAGGTTTAGTCAACCTGATGATGGACTAAAAGCAATACCTAAAGGAATTTGTAGAGTCTATCACTTTGTTTTAATTTGGTGCTATGCTAATTAAATGCGTTTTAAATTTTTATAAGATTATATTAGTTACATGACAGATTGGTAATTGAAGGTTGTTTTTGTCTTGTTGATTTCTTTTGAATCTAGTCAGTCAAATGACGGCATGAATTAATAAATAATTTTTTATGCAAATTTATGTTCTGATGATCTACTACTTTTCGGAAAGGCCAAAACACATCTTACTTGCACAAAAACATAAGAAATCAAAGATTGATGGTCAGAAATATGCACCAATTATTGAGATTTTTCAATAAGATGGACAATTATGCAGTTTAAATACGTTGGTCATTAATACTTATTAAAAGCTGATAAGAGCCAACTTTCTAACCACTTACTCTTGGGGGTCAAAATAGAGGTAATATATGTACCACAAATTTATTTTATTGCATTCTTTTATTTTCATTTACATGATGATTAAAACTTGTATCCATTATACAAACTATATACAAAACATGATATATTATCTACAATAAGCCACAACATGTGCAAATATATAATAACAAGTCATATAATGAAAGACAAACATAAATAATTTTGTTCTCGTAATAGTACTTTAGAAGCTATTCAGATATGCAACTTTTCGGGTAAAAATATCAAAACTGCATTGAATCATATCCATATTTTGGCAGTCAGTCAGCCGTGACAGCACATTCATATAATATGCCAATTTGTGCTGAAACTTTTCTGCATATGTTTGATAAATATTCATAAAACAAAGAAATTGCTGTTAGAATATGTTTATCACTTATGCTGTGATGAAATGCAATGACAATGTTATGATAAAATCTTATGAGAGTGTAAATGAATTGAAGACAAGTCATAATCTATATCATATACTATGCAAATTTTACATCCTTTACTTAAAGTCTACTAAATATTTGCTGTGCATGCTAAATCTGTTCAATATTTTCAAATCTACTAGCAAAAAATAGGAATGGGTTAACTGAATATCACTTCTACAGTCATACTTTAAATAAGAAGGCTACATTCATGTCATGCTATAATACTAATAGTTCTTTTGGCTATTTTATCATAAACTTTTCGATCCTTTAACTTATGCAATAAGCCAATTCAATGATAATACGAAAAAACAGAACTAAATACTTCAATAAACTGCTGATTTAGAAAGAATTTAAACATATAGAAAGTAATTGTTGATGTTGATTTGAGTAATCTAAACCATAGTTTAGAGAGTAATAGAGGCAAGATGATTCTTTTTAAAATTCACATGATCAAACACAAATAATAACTTAAATCTTTTACATATACAGTGTCCACAAAAAAACATTATCGTGCACTATCAATACTGTTACGACTCCAACTTCTCTTTCTACGATATCGACGGACTGAACGTGAACGGCTACGAGATCGACTGTATGAACGGTAACTACTCTCTGAACTTGATGGTGATGGACGATTGTATGGAACGGGTCGTTTTCTTGCACTGTAAATATAAACAAAGAGATTACAATCTGAAAGATGATTAGTGTTGAAGAATTAAGGCTGAAATATAGGTATTTAAATTGTTCAATTGAAAAATCTACTTTTAAATTATTATGTATATCAACTAATCAGCCCAACAAATATTGAAAAATTTAGATGAGCTCTTAATCAAAATATTAAATGTTGTACATAGTCGATATATTTTGATTATTAACTTTTTTTGTTGTTGTTGTACTGCAGATACCATTAGCAACTCCTGTAATTTCAAATAGAAAATAGAACAAAATTAAATAAACCAAAAGCATGCAATTTTGGTGAAGAGAAAATAAAAGAGAGCATGCAAATAAATAAAGGAAAGGAACAGTAGTATCAAAACGAACCAGTAACTTACTAAAATTTAGAGTTTCTAAAATACAGATTGTATTAAATCTTAAAATGTGTATTAAGTAGCAAGCTTATTCTAAGCAAGAACTGGTATTTAACCACTCAGTCTATGTCCAGCATATCACATTGCAGCATATCACATTGATACTTTCAACTAGTAAGAGTGCCTGCCTTGAGGTTATTAATGAGAAACAGGTCCACAAATTTAATTTCTTAGTTTGTATTTATGTATTAGTTTGCATATATTTAGTAGTTTGTATTTATTAATCAGTTTGCAATAATTTAGTAGTTTTAGGTGTTTAGTAAAATTTGTTAGGTTAGTAACTGTTAGGTTAGTAATTTAGTTTCTTAACTAAAGAAATCTTAATATATTAGTTGCAAATTGAAACATGCTGAATCTAACTTTGTCAACACAATGAAATTTATATACCATGTTGTAGCTGATAGTAATATAAAATCTTGGTTTATCTTCGATGTTGTCTTGAATATGGTGACTTTGACCTTTCTCGTCGTGGTGATCTTGTCCTCTCTGGGCGAGAGTATGGTGATCTTGACCTTTCCCTACGTGCATAAGGTGATCTGGTTTTCTCTTGGCGAGAGTATGGTGATCTTGACCTTTCCCTACGTGTATAAGGTGATCTGGTTTTCTCTTGGCGAGAGTAGGGTGACCTTGACCGCTCTTGACGCAGGTAAGATCCTTCCTTCTCACGCCCAGAGTACGGTGAGTTTGATCTTCGTTGACGTGAATAAGGTGACTGTGACCTTGACCTTCTGGAATTATTCCTATCCCTAGATGGTGACCTTTGAAAATAAATGAAATAAAAACACAACAAAATAAAGTGAAAAGAAATATAATGACAAATCATAAACAACAAATAGGATACCACATAAAATGTTTTCCAGCAGAAAGAAAAATGTAGGAAAATGGGTACATTGATGACAGTTTACCACAAAATGGGGGAAAAAAATGCAAGAAAAACTAAATATATTGTTTTCTTGAAATATATATATGTGACCAATCTGAACAGAAGAAGAAACATGCTAAAATAAACATTTACCAACTTAAAGAAATGTCTGAAGGTTTTGAATACTAGAGCAACAAATTTGAGAATCGAAAGTACTACACATATACCTGACACAAAAACTAAAGGAAGTTAAAACATATTCATGAATTCCTGTAAGTCATTCTGTGAACTTATCTATGGATTCAATTAGGTGCCACTCCTACCTGGTAATTCGTCTTTTGTCTAAATGACTTGGAGATCCTTTGCGTCTTCGAATAGATGGACTGCGAGACAAACGCCTTCTTGAACTACGGCTTTGACTGCGGCTTCTGCTCCGCGATTGGGAATATTTTTTACTGCGAGATCTTGATTTAGAACGTGATGCACTGCGTCTTGATTTTCTGTAAATAGAGAAGCACAATCAAAAGTTAACAGTTTTCAAAGTTAAATATTTTGATTACCTAAAAAAAAAAATCGTTTGCGTTGAAATTTTCAGATTAATATAGATATATAACATTATACAAATTTGTTACTTACACTTTGGAATGATCCCGAGAATTAGATCTGGATCTGGATGACCTTGACCTATGACTATTTCTTGTAGATTGGGATCGTTTCCTAGAAGTGGACCGTGACCTTTCCTGTCTATGATTATATGGTGATCGAGATGATTTCTCTTTTCTACGAGCAGGAGAATAGCTTAATGATTTTTGTCTACGTTTCGGAGATTCATTTATTTCTCTGCCATTTCTTCTACTGTTACCATTTGTACGTCTGCAAAGCCAAAACAAAAATCAACAAAAATTGCATTGAAAAAGTAGACAAATTTAAAGTAGACCTTTCTTCTTCAAGGTAACATAAATGTACAAAGATTTAAATCTCACTTGTCAACATTGACAGTTACAATGAAATTATATAAATTCTACTTGCATGATATATTACTCTCATGCTTACACATACTTAGGAACTATCAATTGAGAAAATTCACGAACTCAAGGTTCTGATCTTATCAACAGCTAAATTTATTTTCGTACCTTGGTGATGGACTTTGTGAATCATCAGAATAATGTCTATCAGTGGATGACTTTCTAGCTTCACGACCTCTTGTGGGTTTAGATGTTGGTGACGGAAATTTCTCTAGTTGTTGTGGTTCATCATTTTCAGAATCTTCAGATGAAGAACTTAAAGAAAAAAATATTTTGAAATGTTCTATGAAACTGACAGAACTACATTTAAATATGTGCGTTTCAAAATCATCTTACAAGCATACTAAGGTACACTACCATATTGCTGGAAATATGCATAACAACCTCAGTTTAGAATAACAACAAACCAAATAGGATTGGGGTTACAATTTCCTTACATCTCATAACAAAACCTAAAGTAAAGATATCCATTAAACCTAATAGATGCTCAGATGACCAATGTAAGTTTTAGAAGCTACTTACCTATTGTCACTGTCACTATCTGTCTCAGATTCCGAAGAATCATCCTTCTTTTTACTCTTTCTTGCTCTTTTATCTCTGTTAAAAAAAAAAGCAACATGATTAGGTCAACATTTTATTTCAAAATCCAAATTCAAAATTATCAAGAAGTCAATTCTGGATTTACACAATGTTATGCAATGCACAAGTCGGCTTTAAGCAGAAGTAAAATTTACTTTCAACAACAGTGTATGACAATCAAGACAAACTATGATAGAATATCTAGTCATGAGCTCTTGTACATTTACAGCCAAGTTTTTTTGCCATTCCTTAATTCAACCAAAACGTAACTTTAGTTATTGAAGAGGAAAAATTTAACATAAATACAGTGGATTAACAATCAATAACTTGTGTAGTTTCAATAATTCTACTTAATTTTCAAAGGTAGTGTTTTCTATACATATATCCAGATATTCACCCAAAACTTATCATAGGCAAATAATATTTTATTATAATCTTGTCAATGTTAGCCATCAAAAATAAGTCCAACATGCCTTCTAAATTAAATATATCATTACTCACAGTTTTTTGTTCTTTTTCTTTGATTTTTTATGCCTCTTGGATTCAGACCTGCAAATCAAATTTATAACACATATTAGATCACAGCTTTAAATATATCATTTGACAAAAGCACTGAAGATATGGAATTACATGAAGCGGTTTAAGTTGCAATAGAAAACATTATGTACCAGTTAAAGAGAAACATTCATATATTAGGCTGGATATTATTTGACAAGCAACAAAAAAAACCCTATTTTAACAATAAGCTCTTCCAATCATTCATAAATAATATTCTTATTGACGGAAGCATGCATGTAAGAAAAGTTCAGAAGAAAAATGAGGGGTGTCAAGTTTCATACTTTTGTAGTAATTTTTTTTATATCAAAGAGTACAAATTCTAAAAAAGCTTGAATATATGGAAAAAATGTTAAAATATACTCAGTCTTTGCCTATTAGAGATGACTTAGTAATTGGTCATATGAATGTTTCCCTTTAAAAACTAAAAACAACAAAAATTTAGGAGAAATGACAATGGTGCAGACCCAAAATTATGAGCTTTTCAGTTAATTCACAGAAAAGTTTCATGGAAAATTTAAAAATTACATTTTTGACTTTCTAGCATTAGCTGCTATTTAGATTTTCCTTGATCTTCAATATTGAAGAGCTCAAAATCACAAGGGCTTGATGACTTATGAATTAATACTTTTGCTTTACTAAGCCTTAAACTTCTACACTATCCAAAATATTCTACATTGCCATCAGGGTTTAGTAAGGGAGCAGGAATTATAGGCATGAAATTTAGGCTCTTGAGGGCTGGAATAAATCAGGTATGTCCATTTCAATGGAGGATACATGTGCTCTGCTGATGTCTTGCAAATCAGGCATACAAAGTAAGATTACTTTAAAGGGATTGCAAAGAGGGTTTCTAAAAATTTTAATGCTTATCAGGGACACTGATAGCATCAATTTGCACCATTCTAACTTTCAAACAGACGTCTGTGTTTTAAGCAATCCACTAAAACTAAAATCTGCTTGTATCACATAAAACCTTTGCAGGGGTGACCTTAGTAAAACGCTTACATTTAGTAGAATTGCTGGAACAACAAACGTCTGATTGAAAATTGGAATGGCACAAATTGATGCCATCATTTTCCCCGATACACATACAAAATTTAGAAAAACCTTTTTACAATCCCTTTAAGTAATCTTTTTACTATCATAAGAATATTGGTTTATATATTAGTACAAAAGTAGAATATTTTGGTCTTTTAGGCACTACATATAAGGTTATTGAAATCACTATTTGATAACATGCATTGGACTATCATTTAGAAGCTAGTCACTTGTCTGCAAAGTTTAGTCTTTGAAAGTGAGTTAGTCCAAAATAAAATGGTGAAAACTGTTAAATATCAAGTGTTACCAACACCGCAAATATAAAAAATAAACACACTTATTCATGGTAAAATAAGCTTGATATCTTATTTTTATAATAGTCTGCTACGCTTCCAGATAAGGACAACTATTTTAGTCTAATGACAACTGTTAAAAAAAAACTTAACATAAAGACTTTGAGTCAATGTTTTTGAAGAACAAGTTGGATTGAAACTTTACTTTTGCTCAAGACTACAATACCAGGTTCGGCAATTTGTCAGAGCGTCACAGCCAAACAATTCCTAAAGATTATAAAAATATTTTACCATGACTTAGACAAGTTTCATTGGAAAATAAATTCAATCCAAATGAAGAAATATTGTTTTGTTTATTTATTGTAAAGTAAAACAACAATTATACAAATATAGAGACAAACAAGTTAAAACATACAAACAACCAACAATAATAATAACAATTTCATAGTTTCCCCTCCTGATATTTTAATATCAGCCCTCAAGTTATAATGTTTGAAACTTCAGAGATAATTATTGTTGACACATTATGCATCCCCTGAATAACCAATCAGAACGGTTGTTCTATACCTTACCTGGCTTATCTAACAGCAATAAGGGGGCAGTCAAAAAAGGAGGGAAAAATTTTTGTTATAAGTTTTTTTTTCTTTTTACACAAAACATCAATTTTCACATCATTATACTATTACTCATGCGTTTAAGCATGACATTTTTCAAAAATAACAAAAACAGTTGCTGTCATTGCAACTATTTTGTCTATATTAATTATCAAAACAATTAAGGCCCGCTGAGATATTGCCTTGGAGAGTATACATACATCAAAACAATTCCCTAGTATGTATAATAATCATATATCATATTTATGTTTGGTTTAAATAATTATGCTAAATGTTAAAGAATAACTCAAAATGGTGCAGAAGCAGAAGTAAGACAACAGAAAGCAAAGCTTACTAGGAATAGAAAATATTAAAAATTAGTATATTATGAAACAGCAATTGAAGGTAGAAAGATGATATTTGATTAAGAAGGGGAGGTATGAGATCCAGACAGAGCAAGCTTGCTATTAATCATTCCAAACTGAAATACAAGTTTTTCACCGAGCTTTCATATTTCACTCTACACTAGGCTATTTTTAGGTGATTTGTTGTAATGCCATAAGATGATTTCCAAGATCAAATTTCAATTTATCTGTCAATCATTATATTTGCCAACTAGGTCATACCTAAGCCCAAATGAATTATCAACCAATAACCCAAAACCAAATACCAGCAAGCCAGCTCAATCTAGCAAAACATGCAGATGAGGTTAGCAGTTTAATTAAAAGGGTGAAAATATAAATAGGTCTAAATTAATGTCAAAAAATAATTCTTCAGGCACTTAAAATTACGAATTTTCTCTAAAACATCTGTTAGTAAAATTAGATTTAAATTTGGCCTAAAATTTGAGAGCCAAATAATGCCAAACAATTCTGACAATTTGGAAAAAAGATATAAAAGTTAATATGTTTAAATAGAAACAAATGAATTAATCTATAACAAATGTCTAGCTCTAAATCAATCTACACACGCCAAAATATCGGTCAGTTCAAAACCATTCTACTACATAATCCAAAACCATTTCACTCAAACAATACTTCTCTTTAGGATAGTCACAACACTATTTCTTATATGGTAACATTACTGTTCAAAAGTTATAACATTTTATTTTCCTTAATCTCTACAGTTTCACAAAATAATGATGCCTTATTTTTGCCAAATCACAAAAATGTTATCAAAATTTGGACGAAACAAAAAGATAATTATTGATAAAAAGATGATAAGATAAAGTCACATACAACTGTCCTCTCAAGACTGAGAGCTGTAAAATAAAAAAAAATAAAAACAGATATTTTTTTTATGCATGAATAAAAATAAAACAAAAGCTAAGGAAAAATGATGCAAAACATAAAAATAACAACATTTACAGACCTCTAAAATATTTGTAAATAATTTGAATTTGTCTGTGTGTGAAGGGTATTGAAATTAAAAATATCAAAAAAATGAGAATACAATTTAAAGATTTCCATAAATCCATTTTAAAAATAAAAATAATATCTTAGAAACCATCTAATATATCATCCTATTAAGAACCTTACCATTTAAGAATCGAGATCAACTAAAAATGATATATGACCCTTCAAATTTTTCTTAATCTTATTCACATTTTTTCCACTTCCAAATGTAGAAAAAAAGTTTGGACAATACCTACCGATCACGTTTATGTTTTCTAGATTTCTTTTTCTTCTCCTTTCTTTCTGAAGAGCTACTTTCTGTCCTGTAAAAATTTATAAAAACTTCAATAAACAATCATATATGATCAATGATTCTAGTCACAAAATTTCCAATTATATCTTCGAAGCCCATCTTTACAATGTCAAGCTATTACGAACTTTGTCTTATACCTTGGCTGCAATAACCAACTGCAGTGATTGAATTGGATTAAATATTAGCTAATACAGCCAATCATAGCCCTTGACAATCAGACAGACTGTAAACGTTATGGCTTAGTGTTCACAGACTTTCTAATTGGCAGGAAACAATCCAACGAAATCATTTAAAAATTACATTATACAAGAAAGGTAGCTTAGCTTTGCAGTCAATTTATAAGACATAAAAGCTTGACATAGTGAAGATATAAAAAGCCTAGCGTAAAATTCTAGTAAATCAAACTTTCGTTTCGTTTTAATTTCTGATTTTTCTTTGCTGCATCCAAAGCTGAATTATGTCATCCATAGAGGCATGTTATATTTTATGAAAGCTTATTATAAATCATTTACAGACATACTAAAAGATAAAAATACACAGAGGTCACAAACCATCAACCTTAAATATTATTCTTACCGAAAGTTGCTAATATCCTTATGTTTGCTTCTAACAAAGAAATAGATAGTTATATTTTTGATGTATGGGAGCTGTAGTTTTAACTAATCAAGGACTTTGTCATTAGGTCCATTAACAAAAGTAAGTTATTAGTGAGTTGGTTAGTATTGCTAGTGTAATGAGATCAGTCAATCAGAGTTCTTAGTATTATATATCTAAAATCTTGTTTTTGACAACTGGTCTGTCACTTTTTTTTTATTCTGTGACTTTCACGATAAAATTCTGCAAAATTGTAATTGAAATACTCTGAATTAAGACAAAAAGGATGAGAATAATATTTCAACTAGTTATTTATAAGCTTATGACTAATTCATGTTCATCTCTAAGAATATTGCAATCACGAGATGACAGTGTAAAATTTTGTATTGTCAATATTTTAGCATAAGTAAAATTGTTTTCAATATGCAAACATACCTGGATCTTTTTTTCTTCTTCTTGGGTGGAGGTGATGGAGATTTTTCTTCATCGGATTCCAAAGTTCTACAATATAAATGTTTATCTTAGTACCTTCACTTGAGAAGATGATATCATTGTCAGATTACAAGAGTGTTTATATCATGTAAGATTATTTCATAAGAGCAATTCCCTTTTCAACTTTGAACATATTTTTGCATAGAACAAATTAAATCTATATCAGGGGATGAAATGCCAACTTGCTACTGATTGAACTAACAAAGGGATGTCACCCCGCAAACGGAATAAGGCATACAAGCAAATTTTGTGGGTGTGTCAACATTGAAAATTTAAATGGTACAAATTGATGCTATCAGTGTCCCCAATAAGCATACAAAATTTTAGAATTCCTTTTTACAATCCCTTAAACATTTCTGAAATCTGGGTTGAATCTTAAAAGTGACTGTTCTGTTTCACAGGGCAATCTCGACCTAAGATCACCTGTCATTTGTTATCAAAAAAAGTCTAAGGATGAGTCAACGAAACTATATGATTTAATAGGAATTTCACTCACTGATATTTCTTTGTTGCCATTGCTTCAGCTCGTGCCGCCTCTTCTTTGGCTTTTCTGTTGGGATCAAAAGCACTACCATCAACATAAGTATCCAGACCAAATGCTTCCCGCAACCTGGCATTTTTCTCTGCATTAGCTTCAGCTATTTGATGAGTCTCTTTAGCTCTAAAATATATATATATTAAATAAATCAATCCAAGACGTAAGAATAATGAAAAAATTCATAATTCCAATAGCAGCAAAGCTTTAAAATCATGTTTAAAGTTGAATGGAAAATTTGTTTGGTGACATATTTTTGAGGACTGAAAACATAAGTTGCATGGACAACAAGTTAGTTCACTACAGAAAAAAACATGATCAAATCCTCATAATCTGCATTTCATAGTTTTATTCATCATATATTCAATTATGATCTATATAAAGTTTTAATTTTTCTGATATGAGCCATCTGCATGCCAAATCATTTTCAGAACATGCAATAATTATGATATAGAGTTGTGGATATCCATAATAATATGATTATGTCATAATGCATTATCAATTATGCATCAACACATAATTTTTTTTTTACCAGATCTGAATATCTGAATGAGGTGATATGAATTCAATTCAATTACTGGAAAAACTGATCATTTTTTGGCATGTGAAGTAACATTAAATTGTTGAAAAATCAAATAAAATGATTGATAACATTGCAATTAACAATGGCATTTTAATTAGCTAAAAACAAAAAAATATCAAGAAGAACAAGTTCTTTTGCTTGTGTGTGTGATTTCAATCAATCAAAAGGTAGAAAAGTTCAGTTGAATACCCGGTATAATATAGAGGAAAAGTTTTCTTATTTTCTAAAATTACATTGATAAAATCAACAATTGCTCCTTGTCAAGCTCAATTTCATATTTTTATTGTGGTCAAAAATTATTATTTAAAAAGTTATATATGTTATTTAAAATATGTGTACTTTAAAGTAGTTAGCTATAGCTTTTTGGTAAAATATTATCAAAGCTGAATTACGGTATGTAAAATGTTAAATCTTACACTAAATTTAAGTGAAGCTAATAAGAACATAGGAATAAAGATTCTAATATTTTTTTTCATGATACTTATTAACCAAATAACCCGAAAATAAAAATAGACACGTACAAATAAATCTGAAAACATCCTAATGGTATACCAGGTAGATGATAGGCATCATTGATTGATGACGTTCCTGAGTGGTTAGAATAACTAGAATGACTGGAGGGTAGTAGATATGGTCTGGATACGCTGCATAATTCCTGATCTTTGTTTGCTTTCTCCCAGAAATAATCAAATATAGATGGCTTCTTGTAAAAGTCTTTTTTTACTGTCTTTTGTCCCAAATAAGAGAAGAATTGATTAGATCCTCCACAATGGCACACATGGGAATATTCCGATATCTTCTGCAGAATTAATGATCCATGACTAGAGAGCAGGGTTCTATCAAATTCCTCTGTCATGGTTGATTTAGAATTCCAATGGAGGGAATCACGCTATGCTGTAAGCCACTCAATGAAAGAATAAAATAGATAAAAGAGTTAGTTCTTTGATACGATATTCTGACGTTGAACTTTATTTACATTATTAATTGGCATTGTTGTCACATTTCCACAAAGACAGGTTTGGTAGTTAAACTTCTGAGATGTCTTATCTCCCAATCTACAAAACATGTTACACTCACTTCAAGCTCAGTTAACTCATATCTCAAGACAGATCATTCTTAACTAACGATAAGTTCTGAACTATTGCTCCTCTACATTTGTCTAAGAGAAATATATATCAAAAGTTGTAACTGACTACTATAAAGTACTAAGGTTATAAACAAACAAAAATAAAACAAAGAGGAATAAACAGAAAGATATCTTGCCAGGCAAGTTAACATATGCCCCCTGGCAGCTGTCAGAAATGATAAAACAGTCTTTGGTGACTAAAGTATGGATTTTCTCATATTAAAGAAATTTTAATAGTTTGAATTCAATGATATATATCTACTGCCAGTTATTTATGCTGAGAAATTCCACAAAACTTTTAAAAATCAATATCAATAACCCAAATACATCAAATTTCGCATCAATATACATGATCACACCATGTTTCATTAAAATCAATTGAAAACTGTAGTCTCTAATGTGTTCACAAATTTTGACGCGTTTTTCCTAAGCCAAGGGCAATAGCTCAAAGACCGTTCATCGAAATATCATCAAATTCGAACTTGTCCATGATCTGATCAACATAAATGATCACACCAAATTTCATTAAAATCAGTTGAAAACTGTAGTCTCTATTGTGTTCTCAAGAAATGTTGACGGACCAACAGACAGACGAGACGGCAATATACGTCGTCATTTCCATGTGGGCGTATAAGAACTAAGTCATTCATTCAAACCAATAATCCTACACAAGACCTGTACAAAACCATCAAAACCTCTAATTTGTCCAATTCCAATTAGTTTTAAGACTTCTGATTGGTGCAAGTGGTCCAAATTGATGTTATCACTGTCACTGATACACATCATGTTTTTTAGAAAAACCTCTTTACAACCCCTCTATGAAACACATAAAAAGGTATATAAGACTCAATGACATTCTGTTAACTGAACGCAGGTCAGAAGTCTGCTGATTATCATTTGTCATAACAGAATATTGTAATGTCAATAATCAGAAGAAGTTTGGATCTGGAATTTGTTCAACAAATATAAAAACAACCATGATGAAGTGAGAAAGAGTAAATGTTGAAGTATTGTGGTCTGATTGATGTTAGACCTATCATCACCTTTATATAAAGATTTCTTTAATATTTAATGTTTCAATTGAATATAGAGTCAGGCTTTATAACAATATAACACGCAACATTATATACTGTTTATTAACTGTTTAACCCAGCATTCATAAAAAGGAGTTTTACATCCATCTATTCTGCACTTAGGTAACTGGGTTGAATAATTAGATGGGACAATCTCAACTTATGTTAGAAATGGAGCTCACGAATGGAGACAAACACATCATGTATGATCAAGATAAAACCCTATCAGGACCATTTCTGTGAATGAAATCCACATCCAATAAGAAACTAATTTTTGAATTCTAGACTAGACAGAACAGATCAAGTTAGTAAAGAAAGATTGGTAACCATGATCAAACCTCGTTAAAACTTAAATTCATTAGAATACTAGTAACATTTTCTTTGAATGAAAAATTTGTAAACAGGAAATAATAATGGTAGAAGCAATGTCTAGGTTATGTTGAGTAGAATACTAAAGAGATTTGGAATGGTCAATGGATTATTAAATTAGGATCAATACACTGTCTACTGGGCTAATTAGGTAACTAATCATGTAGTAATACAAGTATTGACCATTTGAAATCTGAATGACTAGAATATATACATACTAATGACTTGCTTCAGACCAATATCATAGGCCATTCATGGCTTGCAGGACAAAGTGTTGGTAATCCTAAAACCATCTTTACAATGTCAAGCTATTATAAAATTCTTCTTATACCTTGACTGCAACAGCCACTAATCTTGTATCAAATAATGCAGCAATTTGATTGGGTTGTATGCCAGTGAATAAATGTTTACAGACTTTCTGTCAAGGGCCCTGATTGGCTGGATTCACTAACGTAAAATTTAACAAAATCTCGGCATTGTGATACATGAATAGTGGCTATTGCTGTCAAGGTATAAGAAGAAGTTGGTAATAGCTTGAAAATATGAAGATTTCTTAAATCATTGTTCTCAATTTTTAAACCTATTCTTTCTAAAAGTTAATTCTCAATATTACAATATACCAAAGACAGGAACTGTACATAGCAGAAGAATTTAATAAATCTAAAATAATTTATATAATAAAGGACATAACTGATATAAAACATTTTCAGAACCTAAACTCTGTTGAGGGCGATGCCTTAATGCAATAATTACAAGATTCTATAGGAACCAATCTTTTGATATCTTCATTAAGTCCACAAAATATCCTACTGCGAAAAGCATTTCCGACTGATTGATATCAAAATATCAGAGAATAATATTTAATAGTGCATTAGTAACAAATTTGAGCAAAAAAATTAACTCATAAAAGCAAATATCTGACTAGAAATTTATGAAGATTCGATATTCAATTATGGTTGAAAATCTGCCAAACTAACAAAACCTCACAAAAAACATTTCAATTTACGAATTGAACAACATTACAATCATACAGGCTTCTTGTCTCTACTTCAACACATGATAGTTCCAATCAGCCTGCAGCTCAAAGACTTTCTCAGTAATTCTTAAATCCTAAATAACACAGAGAGTTGATCCCCAGGATAAATACAATCTAAAAGAATTGACGTCGGAAATATGCTTCTTTTCACCTCATCTAACATTCATGAAGAAATGATCGTTTATCAGGCACTGGAGAGTTGCTACTTTGAGGCCAAGTTTAGAAAGAAAATTCTTTGATTGGTTGTTGATAGCACTTTCATCAATTGATTAATTAAATAAAAATCCATTATATAGACATCTTATAGTTCAACTGCCACAAGACATGAAAGGAGAACATTATAAGGTGTACCGTGCCAAGTTCCCAGCTCGGAAAATTAATGGTGATGAGTTCCAACTGGTATTTTCAGCTTCAAATCATTGAAAAGTTTTGATTCTGATTATTGAAGGGCACACAGAGCAAAATGACACAGCCAGTACTCTAAAAACTTGGCCTTGACAAAGGCTTTAATCATGAAAATGTATTAACAATGATAAAATTCATTGACAAACTTGGGACAGAAAATACCTTATATCATAGCTTGTTCTTAAAAACACCTTAATAAATTAATATCTCCCAATGCAAGTATTGCAATGAACAATGCATATATTGTAAACTCGTTCACATACAGACAGATTTTAGTAGAACAAGATTGATTCCATAATGAGACAGTGTCCCAATTTATCAATTCATTTAGAAATACTAAATGTTGAACATTCATACAGAGAAACTACAAAAAATTCCTCACATAATTTTATACAATGGATGCACTCATAATGATAAATGATGGATAGACAATGTGTGTCTACAACACAAGGACTTCACCTAACTTTGTGTTTAAGTCTTCCACATAAAATTGTACTTGTTTCTTTTTGTGTTAACTTCAAATTCTATTTCCACAATAGTTTTTAAGCATTTTATTTTCTGTCTTAAAACAGCTGCTTCCTTGTAAAACAATGAAATCTCAAACAAATTGTGTGTAAAAACAAGAACTTAAAAAAAAGAAATGGATTGCTAGTTAAAGTTTCTATAGAAACAATTAAGAAATACAGTTTTATAATGGGTTTGTATCTAATAAGAGGAAGACATGTAAAATCATGCAAAATGGCAACTATTCTGATACAGACATAGAAATTTGCATACGATTCTTAACTCACAAATTCTATAATTTTAAAAAATTTCCTTAAAATTTCTTTGAGAAGCGGGGCCCCAGATACCTCTTTCCTAAACATCATAAATTAAAAAATATTTTAACATCTTACTGTGAGTCTGAAGCCAAATTGAAATTTAAAAAAATCCAGATTTTGGGTAATAAATCAATCAGAACTTAAAAACAATCTATGATTGACAAAGAAGATTTATATAGAAATGATCCCTCACCAAAACTTTTTATCACATTTACAAACCACTTTCAACAGGTTTTTCTTGAGTTTATGGAACATTAAATTCTGTTGTTTGTTATCAACATAGTGCCTCCTTTTCTGAACCCATCTAGACCTTTCTGACTCACTTTTATGCTCATTCAACAGTCATCAAAAATAATTTTGTAAGCATTATCAACTAAGCTAAAAAAATTTTTAAAAGATATCATACTCAAAACCCAAAACAATAATATCTCCCAATTATAACACCTTTACACACTTAAAAACAGTTTTCCAATAACAGAAAGTTTATTTCCGCTGGTGACACTCCTAAAACTCACAAATTATTCTTCCAAAAATAAAAAAAAAATCCACAGAACTTTTCCACCTGAATAAACTTCTTCAAAACCACTTTTCTACACTATTGAGTGACAAAAATAAAATATTCACACAGTTCCGAAGTATTTTGATGGAAATGAAGATAGAAATGTTTGAATGTTACATGGTGTAATGAAGCGTTGAGGTGAGAGTTGTGAATGATATATCTGTGTTTGTGGTTGGCTGAATACAAATCAATGAATGATATGGTAACAATGAGAGAAGTTCCCAGTGTTACAGTACAACTCATTGTTCAACCATCCACTTGCACCTGGTGAAGTTTTCATTCCATTAGTCATAAAAAACAAGGTGCTCTGGCAGCTTGAAATATAATCAAATAAATTGATCTGTGGTGCATGTGTAAATTAGAATTAGATCAGTGTGCTGGACTAGAAGACCTTTTTACTGCTGGTCAGACTGAACACTGAAATTTACAAAATCCAATGCTTCTACACTGGGAAAAACAAGAATTAC